CAAACAGAGCCAACTTAAAAAAGTTAATTAATCAAAAAGGTTTTACTAATTAAATCCCTAATTAAACCAACAAATTTAATTTAATTTCTCTCTCTCTCTCTCTCAATCTTTCTGCTTTCTCGTTCTCCAACCACCGGAAAGAGAGAGAAGAAGGAACAAACACACACGAAGATCTCTCCCTCTCTCTCTCTCTATATATCTCTTTCTCTATCGCTCCGCCGCGCCACAATCACTGAGATGCGGCGGTGTAACAACAACACTGGCAAATTCTCTCTGATTAAAACGATGAGGTTTCTATTTCTCGTGTTTCTGATCTGTGGTTTCTTCTCTCTTGCTTTGTCCGCCGAGTCCGACGATATCGAGACTGACTCAGTTATCAAACGTGATGAGATCAATGGTACCTTCGTTGAGTCCAATGTGACGAAACCTAAGGAGGATAGTTTCGCTGATATGATCGATCGAGCACTTGAGAAAGAGTTTCCTGAGAATGACCAGAACGATGGTTCGTTCTTCTACTAGATCTTTCATTCTTCTGCATTTTTGCAATTAGTTACGTTCGCTGTGGAGCTAGGGTTTTTTGTCTTCTGAGATCAGCTTGTTTTTTTAATTTTGTCCTTCTCTAGGGATTTATCATTGATTTAGCTTAGTGGTCTAGACTCTCTCCATTATCTATTGGAAAGTCTCTGTCTATCTAGGTTTATAGTTTTCTCAGGGCTAATAGCATTTTAGCGCTTTGATTAAATTCTCATTTTTCAATGTATTCTGTTTTCTGAAATGCTATTTTCTTTTGCAGTTCCTGATCCAGGAAGCTTCAACAATAGTGTTGCTGATCAGCAGGTTGGTAGCTGCAAGTTTTGATCTTTGTTCTCGCAAGTTATCATTTTCTTCATATTACTATTACATTTTGTTCAGCACACTACTCAAAGTTGTCTTTTCTTTTGATTAAGCCATTTGTTATGCTCATTAGGCTGTTCTAGAGACTGTTGCTCGAGTTAAGCCAAAGAAAAATGAAACCAAGACCAAGGAGGAGAAGTGAGTCTTCCTGATGCTTACTTTACCCTCTTTGGACTTGATTCGTGCTAGTAGTGGCTGTTGTCTACTTTTGTTTCACAGGCTAAAGCAAATTATAACATAACAGTGATTTTATTCTAGATCATTCTTTAACTTGGATAACGAGAATGGCGTAGAAGATACTCCAAGACTCATAGATAGGAAGGTAAGCTTAGATAGTTTACTACATATTTTTTTTTGTAAACAACGTATATCTATTATGTAGCTGTGTGTAAACGTATTCTCGCAATGTAACTTCGCTGCAATTTTAATCCAGGACAACGTTTTTATAATGTCCAATCCAAAATCCAAGTACCCTGTACTGCAGCTAGATTTAAGGTAACTATACCATTTGTAACAAAAGTTCTTCATTCGATTATACTTTCTGAGCATCTTACTAACTGTTTTTTCTTTGTCCGGACATCTCTCTTAATATTGTACATTGGTAGGCTGATATCAGATTTGGTTGTCGTCATTGTTTCTGCTACTTGTGGTGGAATTGCCTTTGCTTGTGCTGGTCAACCGGTTAGCACACTCTGCCTTTGCGAAGCTTGTAACTTCCAGTATTATTTTTTGTCAAACGCAACTTTCAGTATCATTTTGTTAGAATTGATTATTCAGCTTTCGATTTTGTTAACTCTTGACTTTTCAAAACATGACACCGTTATTTAATTTCCACGCTACTTCTATGGCAGGTCATTACTGGGTACCTATTGGCTGGATCTGTCATTGGACCGGGTGGGTTAAGCTTTGTTAGTGAAATGGTGCAGGTAGCTTACATCAGCTTTAGTAATTCAAAAGTTTCTCTTTTGTTGTCTTCATCCTACCTTTGGAAGATTTCGTGAGTACCAGATCGCCTTGTTATATATAAATGGTTGACAAGGACTTCATTTATAAATTTTTGTGTAGAACAGGTTGAAACAGTAGCACAGTTTGGTGTTATCTTTCTCCTTTTTGCTTTAGGATTAGAATTTTCTGCAGCGAAGGTTTGCGCGCTTCCACCCACTTATATTGTCAGGTTTCTTTGTTCAAACCGATTGAAACTTTTGAGACAGTTATTGTACTTTTTGGTTACAGCTTCGTGTGGTTCGTGCAGTAGCTATTCCAGGAGGTCTTCTTCAGATATTTTTGTTCATGTGCTTGAGTGGAATAACAGCCTCGGTATGTCCCAAATGTATAGCAATCAAGTTAAGAATGAGTCAGTAGGCATATTGTGGTATGAATCATGAATATAGAGTACATTCGGTTGATTTAGCTGTTTCTTCGTTGCAGTTATGTGGCGGTAAACTAACAGAAGGAATATTTGTAGGCGCATTTCTTTCGATGTCATCAACAGCAGTGGTATATTCTAATTTCCTTTGTGTACTTTTGCATACTTATGTGGCATTGAACGCTTTGCGTGTCAATTAATATTTTAAACTTGTTCTACACTGCTAGAATATTGCCCTTGTGCTCACTCTCACTGTGTTATATATTTTCTGAGTGCGTGTTATGTTATCATCAATTGCTCTTTAGACATGACTGTCTTATGTTCTCATTACCTCCCTCACCATGATTCTTATACTAGGTTTTGAAATTTTTAATGGAAAGAAATAGCATAAGTGCTCTACATGGCCAAATAACCGTTGGAACACTTATTCTTCAGGTATCTACCTGATCACTCTCAATAACAATAGCTTTTCTAATATTATTCTCACATGTTCTTTTTCCTAGTTCAAAAATCTGCATTTCCTCAAGTAGTATTGTATGCAACAATACTTTCATTAGAACTTAAATTTACTGTGTCATCAATCACCAGGATTGTGCTGTGGGCTTGCTGTTTGCTCTCCTGCCAGTCCTTGGTGGCACTTCTGGTGTCCTTCAAGGAGTGTTGTCCATGGCTAAATCGTATGCATTTATCTCTTCCAGGAATTTCTGTGAAAATATTATCAGTACCCTACTTCCAATGTTCACTTGTTAGATTTCGGTCTAATAAAAACCAAGTTTTTGACACTTTATTTATTTCCAGGTTGGCTATTTTGATTGCTTTTTTGGGTGCTTTGTTTGTATTATCCCGCACCTGGGTACCTTGGTTTCTAAAACTTATGACAAGCCTTTCTTCTCAGGTATGCACAAGTTTTTTACCTGGTTCTGTTTTGGTCTTTATAATGTTTATTTAAGCGTTCTTCTATCTTTGACAGACTAATGAGCTCTATCAGTTGGCCGCTGTAGCATTTTGCTTGCTTGTCGCTTGGGTTAGTCTGCTCCCTTTGTTTTTCTTATCTATTGGCTGTTTGCACATGCGTGACTCTCAACTTGTCAGTTCTTAAATCCAGTATCGTTTTGGCTTCTTCAGTGTAGTGACAAGCTCGGTCTAAGTCTTGAGTTGGGTTCCTTTGCGGCAGGAGTGATGATCTCTACAACTGATCTCGCTCAGCATACTCTTGAACAGGTAGGAAGTCAAATTTGACATTTTCGAACTAGAGGGTCTCTGCCCTTTTTTATGGCCACACTCTTATTTTGAAAGTGTCTTTCCTGCTTATAGATTATCGTCGACTGTCTATATATTTCCCTTACTTTGCCCATTGTACAAAAAATTACCAATAGACCTGTTCTGATCGCTTCTATTTCCTTACAGGTGGAACCCATCCGCAATTTTTTTGCAGCACTGTTCCTTGCTAGTATCGGCATGCTGATACATATGCACTTCTTGTGGAACCATGTTGACATTCTGTTAGCAGCTGTGTTACTTGTGATAGTGATAAAGACTGTTGTAGTTGCGATAGTTGTTAAAGTCTTTGGATACAATAACAAAACTGCAGTACTTGTAAGAAGTGAACCCTTCTTTTTGTCCCGCTTGCACATTACTCAAAACTTTCTCATAGAAAGAGGCCTCACAGTTTTCTTGTCTATAGGTTGGAATGTCCCTTGCACAGATTGGGGAGTTTGCTTTTGTTCTGCTAAGTCGAGCATCTAATCTTCACCTAATTGAGGTAAGTTATAAAATGCTTTTTTGGTTATCTTGATGCTTAATAAAATATATATTAGCATATATCTCCCAGACCGTGTATGACCATATAATAGATTTCTCGTAATTTGCTTTTTCGGTGGACTGTGGAGTGATAATAATGAAGAGGTTTGTGTTTATTTGCAGAGCAAATTGTACCTCCTGCTTCTGGGAACAACAGCCTTGAGCCTGGTACGTGTCTATTCTTTTGCGCATTGATTTTCGAAACAATTATTGACAAGGAAGTTGATTTATCAATGGAAGAGCAGTAGATTTCTCTTATACTTGAATCAGTATTGTGTAATAATTACTGTTCTAAGTAAATTATGTAACAGGTAACAACACCATTGCTATTCAAGTTGATACCAGCCGTTGTACATTTAGGAGTGCTCTTACGGTGGTTTTCCCCCGACAGCTCAACCGAGGTAATTTCATATCATTTCTATCTGTATCTCTACGGATCTGGCTCAAACTGTAGGTATTGAACATTTATCTTCGTATGTACAGATTGGTTTCAAAGGAGAGTTGTATCACTCAGAGAGTGCAAAGCGTATATCTCTGATGATTCAAGGTTCGCTACACGACTCTTGAAGTATTGATGACGTTCAGCATAACACGCAACATGAAGCCAATTTTGGTCTCTCAAGCAAGGGAAAGGCAATGAATGGGAGCTTCCAGATGTATAGATGCATTGAGAGAGATCAGAAGAAAACCCCAAGAGGAACCCCCTGTATAAAATCTCTACACGAAGATAATTACACAGACTTGTAACTTCACTTCAATTTTCTTTTCTTTTTTATTAAATGTTTTGGGATTCTTTTTTTTGAGTAAAAAAAAAAGGTAGGAAGAGGTTATTTTTTAGTTTGTTTCCCGCATCAAAATAAGAAACATTTTCACCGTATTGTAGCCTTGTAGGTATATACCAAGTTTCGTATGTGAGATTGTGTTTGGTCAATTCTAGGTTTGCTGGTTATTTCATCAGTTAAGTATGAGATCCTTGAGATGAGTTTGATGAAAAATTGTAAATACATAGACCTCTAAACTTTACCCTACTCGACCATTTTAATTTCTGTTAGTAGGGTCGTAATTCTTCAGTTTTCACACATAGCAATTGCCTAATACAATAGTTTTTCTTCTAATCGGTCAAACAATGTTATCAGTTATTGGGAAAGTGATAAACAAATAGCTTTAAACAAATTTGATAAATTCATCTTATGCTTATAGTTAAATCATCTATGAACCAAACCAACGTCTTTGTACTAAATATTATATAAGTTGAATGGTTTTAATCCGACGGTAATTTAATTTTAAAAAAAACCTTCAATATTGACCGATTTCATTTTTAAACCTTCAATTTTTTTTTTGTAAATATAACCCTGAACTTTAAAAACTTATAACAAATTTAAACGGTCGCCTATAAATTTATCCTCTAAATCATTTTTCACTAAACTCTTTGTGAGGTTTTGTCCAAGTGTCTCTAAAGAAACTCTCCCAAGAAGAAGGTTTCAGCAAAAGAAGGTCACGAGGAGCTCATGTGAGGAAACGATGGAGAATACGAATCGAATAGTTTGGATATGGTTCTTTCCATGGGGAATCATGGGTTTATATAGAGCTTCTAGTCCTACTCTAAACATGGAGAAATATGAATCGAAAAGTTGAGATATGATTGCAGTACACAAAGCATGCAATCGAGTGAAGAAGACGAAGCGAAAAGCAACCATCGCCGCGACGATTCTGTGTTGGGAACAGAAGAAATAGTGGTGTTAGGATATCATATTTCTAAAGGGTCTATATAGATAAGTGAGGAGGATCAGGTAAAAATGGATGTCCATATTAACATAAGGTAAAATCCGAATTGGACCAAAGTCCAATCTACCTTGACACGTAAACCCATTCGGTGATTTCACTGAAACCGCATCCGAACCGATACCGCTTCAATCACGTGCCAACCAGTCTGGTTTTTCTGCCCAAAACTAATTAATATAAACCGTTAGATGAGATAACCAAAATAATTATATCCGTTAGATTAAAACGATGACATCAGTAATCACTAAAAGTGGGTTTATTGTTATTTATAGAATCTAAAATGGTGACATTAGTAATCATTAAAATTGGGTTTGCTATTATATATTGATAGGCTAAGAAACTCAATAAAAGCCTAGAACTGTCGAAAAAGGAAAAAGAACCCTAGAGGTGTTAGGGCATCCTCATTGGAGGATTCTTATAGGTAAGATTTATCAAAGTGGGTATCTTATGAGGATGGTTTACTGATGGCGTGGAGTACAGAAACCCTAAATCGACTAAAAGCATTCCATCAATCCATATCAGCCGCCCGAAGAGAAGATGTTGCCGGCGGTGATGATAATCAAGAGCTCAAAAGAGGGTGTCGAGGATCAGAAGATAATTGTATATCCCGAGAGAAGAGCTGACCGGGTAATCAATTATATATTCCTTCGTAATTTCATCATCTCCTGCTTCCTTAGCTTCGCTTCTTCTTAATTTGGAGACTAATAATAACGTAACAATTGTACGTACCGTTCATAGGCCCTTAAAGGAATTCGGAGAGTTTACTCCAAAGTTCCGGACGTTTCTCGTCGTACCATAGTCCGCCTTTATGCTAGGTTTGGCCTTCATCGTTTCAATTTTCTCATGGTTAGTTTACTCTACTCATCTCTCTTCTTTGTTTTCTCATTTGTAGCTAAAGATAAATATATCTGCTTGTAGCTAAAGATATATATCTGCTTTCAATCCTAGGGACAAGAGGTGCAGCCCTGTAACATAATGGAGTACACCCAGTCCACTTTTTCTGTTACTTGCTCTTACAAGATCACTTTCAAAGCCAAGGATCCTGCTTCTGCCAAGACCAAGCCTACGCTTGCTACTTTTCAGGCTCAAGTTAACGAGATTGCATTTAACAGATTCGCTTTGGTCTCCGCTAATTCTGGACCTTATCCTGGTACTGTATATATTTTTATAATTATCATTATTTTTATTGGTTGGTAATAGCTAGTATACATACAACTTAACAAGTTCTTTCTCTGTATAGTGGAAACCAAGATATACAACGTAGATAAAAGTAATGTGTTGTGTGGCCACTTTCTCCATCATTTCATGCCTAAGTTGCTTACAGGAGAGAATCCTTTCCAAGACGACACTGGCCGATTTCGCCTGGTAATTTATTACAACCCGATCAACCACTCTTAAGCTGTGTTTTACCTTGTGATGATTCGATCACCAACCAACTAGTCGTACGTGTATATATATATATTTTGCAGCTGAAAAAAACAGAGGTGCTTAAGAATGAGTGGATCCATCTGTATTTGGAACTTGCGGTTGCCACAACTAATAGGCGCCGTATCGAACACGGTGTTGGCGGTCTGAAGATTCGCAAAGTGGCTATGGAAATCCCACGAGACCTTGAGCCCTTTCACAAGGGACTTGGCGCCTATGATGCTATTTTCTACATTAGGTACACTGACCCATGCAAGGATCGGGCTGGTGATGATGATGGCGATCGCGTTGCATTAGTCAGAAGAATCGTGGATGTTCATTCTGGAATCTTTAGAATCGTTGGTCTTACTCAGAGCTTTCAGTCCATTACACCTCCAGCAGCATCAAACGGAACTGCTGCCATGGAAATGGAAGCGTCTCCACAAGACTAGAAACATCCATATAAATATTATGTTTGGATTGTATTAGTAAAAGAACTGCTAAGTGTTTTTTTTTCTCATGTTTAGCAATAGGACTGGTGATTTGCATATGTAAACTGTACACAGATTTATTACGATCTGGTATGGTAAGACAAGGGTTTATGAAATGTTTGCTTATTGTTTTCACTTTATGGGCTTTACGTTAATGGCCCCAAGTCGATCAAAAGCGAAATAACTTTGTTCCAAACAAACAAAAAAAGCAACGAAAGAAACGTGATCGGTGATTGGTGATTGCTGCCATGGAAGCTTGCTCCTCCTCATCTGCACAAGACTAGATATATCCATTTGAATTTGGTGCGTTCGGATTGTCATATTATTAGTAGATTGCGTTTTGACTAAGTTTGTGTGATTTTTCTTTTTTTTTCTTTTCCAAGTGTGTTAGTTCTACTTACTTACTATAGCTGCAAGTTCACTCATATATATATAAGTGTTGCATATATACCCATAAAAGCTAAACTATCTCTTACAAATAAAGAGTTTTTTGAGTTAATTGATTACAAAAGTACAAACACATATTCAATAAAAGAATATTTGAATTGATACACCAAATATGAGAGGAAGAATACAATGAATCAATTGTGTTACTTTTAACATTTGGTGGGAACCCGAGTTTTTATTGGCTTTAGCTTTATACCAAGACTCTCTGGAGAAAGAAGCTCTGGCGAAATACATGACGGGCTCAGTGGACTACGGGGGCTATCGCTAACCCGACCAGGCCTATACAATCCAAACCCCATGAAAAAGAACTCCATTGGTATCAACATCGCATGTGGTTGCTCTTCTGTCACCACTGATCCACAAGCTTGCACCTGCAATTTCAGACAAAAATATACAATCAAAACATGTTTCTTTGAAATCTTAGAGAGCCTGAATCTTTAAGTCACGGAGAGAAGCTAAGAGCTACCACATCTGTTTTTACATTAACCCGCATACCTCAACCAAGGCGCTGTATTTTCTGTCCAATGCAGTCACCATGTGAAGAGTTTCAGAGTGGAAGGGAGATTGGTCGCCAACAAAGATGAGTGTGCGGCATTTCAAATCTCTTAATCCATCAGTTAGGTCATGTCTCTTGTTAACTGCTTCAAGAAACCGCATAAGACTACTACCATGTCTTTCCCCCAGCAGCTGTATTAACATATCATATCATACAACATCATTATTATCAAAGGTGATGAAAAACCATCTACAAACTACTACTAGGCTAAGCACTTACTCTTCTGCATTCATGTACCACATCCCTCTCTGGAACTTCAGAGCTACCACGAGCTTCCTGTTATGATTAAAAACAAGACTAGTTAAATACTATTCAGCATATACAGGTTTCCATCAAGGAATCACAAGAAAGATTACCTTACTGAAGTACCGTTGGAGGAAAATATCCTTTAACAGCCCAGACATACCATAGTAGTACAACAAGTTTGACACTACCTGCAGAATTGTTTTTAACATTGGCTTACTAGTCTGGAGGCGAATAAAGTGTGTGGGTTTATCCTTTTGTACAGTCATATAAACTATGATGAGAATGAAAAAATAAACCTTGTAATAAAACCATTCAGACCATGAGGGCGCTTTGCATAGAGGTGATATAAGAATCAAACCCAAAACTCGTTCTTTATGTTTAATCTGCAACCACAAAATAACCACTGATAAGTAATGAGATATTGTATGATGTTTTGAGAATGTAGCTACACATAAATCTTCAAGGGGGCCTCAGTCAGTGAGTACATACAGCAAACAAGGAAAGGATGTAGGCACCCGCTGTAATCCCCATGCACATTACTGCCTCGAGGCTGCAAGAGACATATAGATATTTAGAGGACATCAGCGGAATTACACTAGTTGCGATATGCCAAGGTTCGAGTGATTGTTGGTTGAAACATGATTCTAGTTTTACCTAAAGAAGTTCAATACTTCAAGAATCTGGTCCGCGAGGTCTTCAACGGAAGGTGACGGATCATTGGAACAAACTGGAGCAGCTCCGAACTGCAAAAACTCTTGTGGAAACGATGGAACCCAACAATACGTGAGCAAACAGCCAAGTCGAATACAAATAAAATATATGCATCTTTTCAAGACAATCAATTTTGCAAACCTCATGTCCTGGGGGACTAATATGGTAAATGCAGAAATTATGGAGCAGTAAGGATACTGCTTCAGGGCAGAGAAACAATCCTTGGAAACACGACAAATCTAGAAGACATAAAACACACAAGAATCAAAAATGAGATTATCAAGTGAAAACAAATCATGTTCCAAATGAATATTCCCAACTCTTACAGTTAAGTGCTACATCTGGATAAGTGATCAGTGCTGGTTTCTCTTGATCTCCATAAACTACAACTGAAACTGAACCATGGCAAGTTTTGACATGATGCTCCTGCAAGAGATAACGAAAATAAGCAAGAAATGAATCAGTCTATATCCAAACTAAGAGAAAATATAATCAATGCCACATGCTTATTCTCAAATGCACACCATTAGCCTTCATCCAACATCAGCTCAATATTTTAGAAACCAGAATGATCTTTAAATTATGTTCTTTAAATCAGATACAGCTAAGAAAGGAACATTCCAACTTTGTTCCAGACAACAAAAAAAATGAAGGACCTCAAGAGATTCTCCCATGTGCAAGAGTCAGAAAAATCAGTAGAAGATAACTTACGGCTGAAAAAAGTCAGACATTATATATCAATCATGGAGCCATAAAAAGATACCATTTTCAAGAGAATCTCTTGGACCTTTGATACAACAGGAACAAAGAATCAAATTAAAAGAAACACCCAACTTGGTGATTTCAGATGAAAATCCAAAGGGTCATCATAATACAAAGTGAAACAACTTTTTAACTATCAATGAAGTAATAGGTTAATTAAATTAAGCAAATAAACTAAAACCAAGAACACGATATGATAAATTTGATTCCAATCAAGAAACTGAAGCTAGATATACTAAAAGATTCACTAAATCAAGGAACAATGGGCAAATTTCAAACTGAGATTAGATGGTAAGAACCCAGAAGAGAGAAAACGAAATGTGACGGTTCTAATTACCATAAAAGTATCAAACTTTAAGAGTAAGACAGGTACAGAAATGGCCTGAGAGAGAAGATAAGAAGGAGAAAAGGAAGTAAATTTTGTTAGGTCAATGTGTAAACAGACCTTGCCACCATTGTAGATCTCTTCAATGTCGACTGAGATGTCGTCGTTTAAACCCACCATAGCCTGTGAAAACCCCCAAGACTGCGCCTTTTTTGCTTCTTTCTCTCTCTATATCTTGAAATTGAAATGGCAATTGAAAGATAACAGTAAAGACTTAAGCTTTCTTGTGGGTTTATTGCCTTAGATTGTACGCTTCAACGGCTCTTTTAGGCTTTTCACTTTGTCTTCTTCTTCAATGGGAATGGACCACTATCTCTCTCTCTCTGTCTCGATGTCTGTGTCTGTGTCTTATAAGCAAAGCCGCGTTGCGTTTTTATGGCCAGCGGTTAATCAAATCCACTTCCCACCGACGCCGATGACTCTTCCTTCTTTTTCTTTGGTTTCCCTTTTTGGATTTTGCACCGATCTTCATACGGCGCCGTTTCTTTATCCTATCCATTTTCTATTTTAATCATTTTTTTTCTTTTGTTTTTTTTTCCTTTTTCGTTTTTTTATTCGGTAGAACTTTTTATCTTTTAACGTTAGAAAAATAAGCTTTGTCTTTTAAAATTCTGATTGGTCAGATCTTGCTAGTTCCTTTATACATCATAAACATAACTTTTTATGGAATCATGAATTAGTTTTATTGAAGAAGTTTTTATCAAAATATCGACAAAATAAAAAGTAAAAAACTTGTCAGTCTAATAAATTTTAAGTTACGTTAGATTAATAACTTTACCATTTTATAAAAAAATTCCACGGTTGATCTATTTTAAAAATAGTTTATACAATATTACATGTTTCTTTCAAAAATTACATGACATTGTCATTAGTATTAATTATTAAGCCTAGTTTACTGAATTTTATTCTAATAAAAAGAAAAATTTGTTGGTTTTTTGAAATTGATAGTGTAGAGATGATGTTGTGTGTCATGATGATTGTGCAATCTCCTAAAAGATGGTTATGCAATCTCCTAAAAGATGATTGGCTTTTTCCCATCTTTTAGATGATTTTAGATTGTTCTAGGTGTCTTTTTGTCGTTTTTATCCAAAATCTATCGTTTTTGTAATTCTAAAACGGATTATCTAACTCGTTAATCTAGATCGCTTGATTTGGAAATTATTTTTTAAGCATTTTTACATTTCAACGGGTGAGTATTCAAAGAATAATATTTGAATGAATATGTGGTTGATAAAAAAAATATATATATATAATGGATAAACACGTCATTCTGAAATTCGTTATTTTACCAATACACTTTCAGATTTTAATATTCTAAATTTAATAAATATTTCTCCATGCTTTAAGTTCAGGTATCTACTTATATATAATTAATTATTACATTTAATCAAAAAAAATATAGCATCATAGGGTATCTTCTACTTTGTTGCTATGTATATATCCCGGCTAGAAATCTTAGATCAAATTTTGAATTTTAACATCAGCTTAATATTATCTATACTATTAATTGGGAAGCACAAGCTGTATCCAAACAGACTTCATGTTTTTTAAAAAATTTCATAAAAATTAAACCTGTAGCCAAACAATGACCTTCTTATTTTAACAAAATTTTGGACAATCTAAATGACATTGTCGACATAAATTAATAAGATTTGGCCTGTTAATATATATGGCCTGTTAAGATAGATTCGTTGTTTTTAAAAATTGTCGAATCCACCTAAAATCCTGCCATATCGTCGTTCCCATAGGTTGACCTTAAAGAAAGAAAAATCAACATAAATCATCGTCAATACAAATATATTCCATAACTGCTAACTTCCTTAAATATTGCTAATTTTTTGTGATTTATGCTAACTGCTAACAATATTGTTTCCTAAAACTTTGTTTTCCTTATCTTTCGCCATATTAACGAATATTACCGTTGCCAAATAACGCTCAATAATAAATACATTCTACAGGAAAAAATGGAGAATAATCAATCATAACAATCTTATTCCCTTAATCTTAATCTCAAAAATATTGTATTATACCAAAATCTTAACCAAATTATACGCTAAATGAATAAAAGATAAGTTACCATACATATTATTCCATTCCAACGACACACTAGCTAAATAGAATATTCCCATTTCCAAACCAATGTCGCCAAATCAATATTTTCGAAAAATCTTTACCTTCCTAATGGCAAATCATAACAAGCAAGTATACATCTATATAAATAGAGGTGTACAAGAACTTTATGATATGCACTCAACCCTAAAACGGCTACACACACAATGGCTACCAATCTTCAGCAAAAAAAAACTGTTGCTGCAAATGAAGGCTTCACCGAGCTTGGTCACATCAAACCATTTAAGACTGCTTGGAAGATAAGGGTGAAGATTGTCCACACATGGAAACAGTACACCACCTTTACAGGCGAAACAATAGAGATGATATTGGCTGATATCAAAGTAAGTCGTTTCATCTGTTTATAAGTTTACTTTTAAACCAACGATTAACTAACATATTTCGTTCTATTTGGAAATCCTATACAGGGGACACTGATTCATGCAACCATCAAGAAACAACAATTGACAAAGTTTCAGCGTTTGGTTGTATTTGGAGAATGGAGAATCATTGAAAATCTCCAACTGACAAGAGCTTCTGGGAAATTTAGAGCAACTAAACATCCCTACAAGATGTCCATAATGAACTCCACAATCATTACTCGGTGTCCCTCACTATCAAATGATTTCTATGTTGATCCTGTTGCTTTTGAGAACATCCTTGCTGAAGATGTTCTAAATGAACACATATTGATAGGTAAACTTGATTCCTAAACGAGTATAATATTCTACAGTTTGGTGGTCATATATTTAGTATTAAGTTTATGTAACGTACCGTTTTTCCAGATGTTTTGGGTCAGGTAGTATCAGTTGGGCAGATTAAAACTTCTGCACAAAATGAGAAACCTAAAAAAAGATTGGAGATTCAGTTGAGGGATACAAGGTAAACTGATTTTTTAAAATGTATAAATTCTTGGAATAACTATATACAAACTGTTTAATAACCATTTTTAAAACCTTCTACAGTGACCAGCGACTCTCATGTACTCTATGGGGAAGATTTGCAGATACTATGTGGGAAGAATGTCATAAACAAGAAAGTGGTATTGTAATCTGTTTGATTAGATGTGCTAAACTCAATTCGTACAATGGTAAGAATGTTTCTAAACAAGCAGTTCTTAGCAATGTTTAAACACTAAATATATAAAACTATTTACTAAATACAAATTCCTCTTATATGTAACAGGTAACAGATCAGTTTCAAATGCATTTGACATGTCTCTCATGTTACTAAATGCTGACTACACAATTGTTGATGAATTTATGGCCAAGTATGTCAATCCTCTAACGTTTTCTAAGTTTAAGACAGCATGTTTAACTTTTCTAATTTTCTCCCATAAATCTATTGATGACTACGACTAACATTGCTCCTATTCAAACAGTTTACCAAAGGATAATTTGCAAATCATCTTCGAAGAGGAAGACAAAACAAACTGCAGATTGAGCAAGGACAAGGATGATTACATAAACCAATTTCCATTGAGCACTATTTCAGACTTGCTAGAAGCTGAAACGGTAACCAGATCATCTACTACTTCAACCTTATATGATTCGTTATTATATAATTTGGTTAAACTATTATCATACAGGAAGGGAAGTTCAAAATTATCTGCACTGTCTATCACATAGATATGGAATATGGTTGGTATTACTTTGAATGTGTCAAATGTAAAGGAACTTGCTACATAATTCCAAAGGAAGAGAACAAACCTATCAGCAAAACAAAGAAACCTTTGTTTTATTGTCCAGGATGTGATAAGGAGGTTAGCAAAGCAGTATCCAGGTAATTTCATTCAGTAAAATAATATATGTAATGCAAACATACTTGGCCTTAAATTGGGAAATATTTACATAACAAAATCTCAAATGTCTGAATTTAGGTTCAAAGTTACTGTGGATGTAATGGACGCAACTGGGGAGTCTAAGTTCATTCTATTTGATACCACTGCGTTAAAGGTTCTAAAAAAGACTACAACACAAATTTTAGAAGGCCAGTACGATGAGGTATAAGCTTATATCAAGTTATTCCGTTTTGGTAAACTGGATGTAGTCTCTAATGTTATTTTGTTGAATACAGATTGCAGATCCATCTTGTGTGCCAGAACCGTTACCAAGTTTGGTTGGGAAAACTTTCATGTTTCTTGCATCTGCTCTAACAGCCAATATCACTGAAGGAAAAGAGACTTATAAAGTTGCTTATGTGGAATTGGGCGATGCCAAAAAAGAAGTGGACAATACTGAAGAATCTGAACTTCCAACTGATCCTAAAGATGTCATTTCTATTGACCAGGTATTTTATCTAATCTAGATATAGTTAAGCATGCGATATAACTATTTTTTTAACTTAGTATAGCGTGAATGATTAGCTGACTAACTTTGATGTTAATTACTGAAACATTTGGACTAAATTGTGTAGGATCAAGACGCTATCAGCCATGAAAATGGAGAAGGATACAACACTGCTACTACCACTCCTTCTTCTAAGCGTAAAGAGGATCCCAATGATGTTTCAGAACAATCATCAACTTCTAAAAAAGTTTGCCTACCATCAATAACATCTGCTATTGAAGATGCTTCTGCTCCCGCCATAAATGAGAATGAAGGAACGGTTGATGAAATTCAAGACAATATTGGGGAGAAGGAAAAGCTTTCTAATTGATTCAAGGAAAGACATGGTTTAAATTTTTTAGCTGCAGTTTCAAATTTTTCAATAAGGTAGTATGGTTTTTTCATGTTTGGTTTAGATTAGTGCATTAGCATTAACTTGAATTCAAACATTTTTCCATACAAATACCATCTATGTATTTCTGGATTTAAGTTTGCAAGTTTCAAGTATTTTTGGTTTTGATATTCGATGCAATTTTCCTTTACAACTTTCCATGTAACAACTTTACAATTTTCCTTTACAACTTTATTTTAGCTAATTAGTTAGCCAATATAACAAATCTCTGTAATTAAGACTAAATTATATACATGCCATGAAATATTACCAAATTTCATATTCAATTTATTTGCAAATATACTCTCTCTTTATATATATAGCTACTTTTCTGTCACTTTTCAACACCCTAGCTAAGTTTTTGTTGAAGAGTGCAAAAAAATGAAGAAGAGAAAATACGTTCCAGAAACTAAATCACAAAAACTAGATGGTTGTTTACACGCAAAGATTGTGAAAAAACCTATTGGCAAGGAGAATAGAAATCACGCTGGAGAAGTCAATATTAAGAGTAGTATTCAAGTGAAATCTGTTTTCAAAAGAGTCTTATGTGGACTGAATCACAAACCTGATAATGGTGCCTCTTTAACCAACCTCCAAGAAGATTCCTCCCTTACTGCAGATACAATCGGATTATCTGGTAAGTAAACCAACTTTGTAGACAATTCACGATTGAAACCATTTGTTTATGCTAATATTTAGGGAAAACTTTGTCAATTCTAAAATATTATTTTGCTAATCTGTTTTATTTAGGTTCTACTATCGAACCTGTAAGGACGTCAAGGAGGGTTCTTGGTGATGTGACTAACCTAATTCAAATCCCAAAGGAAAACCAAATTCCAACAAGTAATAAAAGGAAACCAACATTGAACAGGCAAACCAAACTATATCAGAAATTTCAAAACAGTTTAACAGGTGACAAACACATTACAACTCTTATGTTAAAATGTTTTCTTAACTAAGTTTCCTGTACTTTAAAAGTGTTTGAAATGGAAAACAGAGAATACCTGCAATACAGTGTTGCAACAATCCCAGTTATTTAAAGCTCATTCCAATGAGCAAGTGAATTTTGAAGAATCTCCTCCAACCAAACGAAGACAAGCTATAACTGAAACACAGTTTAGTCCACCATCAGTGAATAGCAAAAAAGGTATGATCATTATCACAAATATAAATTACTTTCAATTTATAAGATGGTCGTGTGTTTTTAACACGGTACGTAAGTGTGGGATTGACAGAGTTGAAGCAATTTGATTAACACTTATCATTGGTTTAATTGAAGGTAAAAGCAAAGCAGTGTCCATTACAAGACGTACAACTTCTTTAAGATTTACTAAAGCACTTGCAAGACAATGGAAACCTACTCAGGAAGCAAACACAGATTCAAGAGTTATGATTCAATCAAATAAATTTCATATTACTGGGCATAAAAAATTAGTTGAGATAACATCTAATTGCACAGGTATGGCATCATCCATCAACTTCTAAATGGTTTCGTTAATATATAAAGCCGAGACTTATTCTAAAATCATTCATGACATTATTTGTGTTGCCATGATTATGACAGAGAAACAAACATACCAATGCAGCAGCAGTAGTGATGATCAAGAATCAGAAACTTCAGAAGAGCAATCAGAAGTTGAAAATGTGTCAGAACATGTTACGAAAGGTTTTCAGATTCTAAATGTGTTAGATGAAAGTTTGACTAGAGCATTTGGAAGAAACAAAACACCCAATCCAAAACCAAGATTCAAGAAGAAAGAAACAGGTACGAAATATATGTAAACCAATTTGTGAGCCTTTATAGTAACATATTCTAAAATAACATATTTAATTTGTGTATTTCAATAACAGAATATCTTGATCATGGGGATCCTACATATTCATGTTCATATTGTGGAGCTATTATGTGGTATGGTGAACGCATAAACCGACAAAGAAGGGATAAGAACCCTACATTCACACAATGTTGTCTACAAGGAGCAGTGAAATTGCCTTTCTTACATAATCAGCCGGAACTATTGTTTGCTTTGCTTACAAACGATGATGAGTTAAGTCGCCATTTCAGAGAGAACATTAGAGCATACAACATGATTTTCTCTTTCACATCACTTGGTGGATGTTGCGAAAATACTGTTGTCAAAGGAAATGGCCCTAATATGTTTTCCATACAAGGAGAGAATTATCATCTTCTCGGCAGTCTAAAGCCTGAAGAAGGAGACTTCCCAAAGTTTTCACAACTGTATATTGTAGATACAGAAAATGAAATACAAAACAGAGCTGGCATTCTAAGGTATGCCTATTGTATTTTATAAGACGACGAACTATCTGATGTCATGTTTGTATTTATCACTAATCTTAAGAAATGTTTTTCCCATTTCTTATCAGCAAAGCACAATCTGCAGGTAAGTATAAAAGCAAAAAAAAGCTAAGACCAGAAGTCATTGCAGCTATAATCAAGTTATTGGATGATGTCAACCCATATGTTGAGAATTTTAGAACAGCGAAGGAAAGGTTTAATACTAATCCTGAAGAAAGTTTCCACATGAGAATAGTGAGTGATCGCAAAAAAGATGGAAGAACTTATGCGATTCCGACAGCTAATGAGGTGGCTGCATTGATCCCAGGAGATTTTCATGTAGGTATGCCTACCCGTGATATTGTGGTAGAAGAAAAATCTGGGATGTTACAAAGGATTAGTGAAATACATCCATCCTATCTGTCTCTACAATATCCGATTTTGTTTCCAAATGGAGAAGATGGTTATAGACCTGGAATAAAGAAAGGTCCTAGAGGTGGGAAGAAGAAAAAAAAGACTGAGACAGAGAAAGAGAATGATTGCATAAGTCTGCGGCAGTGGTTTGCATTTCGTATACAAGAAAGGGAGAATGAGTCACATAATCTGCTTTTGTCGAAACGATTGTTTCAACAGTTTTTAGTGGATGCTTACACTACCATTGAGACTAACAGGTTAACATATATTAAGCTGAATCAATCTACTCTAAGGGCTGCTAACTACGATACAGTCAAGGATGCTGCGGAGAAAGGCAGAACAGATATGAATGATGAAGGGACCAAATATTACTTACCAGCTACGTTTGTTGGGGGGCCTAGATATATGAGAAATATGTATCTAGATGCAATGGCTGTTTGTAAGTATCATGGGTTCCCAGATCTCTTTATCACTTTCACATGCAACACAAAGTGGCCAGAGTTGGTAAGATTTTGTAGCGAAAGAAGCATTAATCCTGACGATAGGCCAGATATAATCAGCAGAGTCTTCAAGATGAAGCTAAATTCTCTTATGGATGACTTAACAAAGAAACACGTATTGGGAAAAACTGTCTCATGTAAGTTCTATTCCATTACTTTATTTTATATTTAGCAATGTTCATTAAAAGAAATCGTGGCGAATTTAACATTGTGCCTCTACGTTTTATAAGGTGTAAGTTAATGAGGTTTTTGTTGTTGTTTTCTCTAGCAATGTATACAATAGAGTTTCAAAAGCGAGGACTACCCCATGCTCACATTTTACTTTGGATGCATCCGGATTTCAAGTTTCCAAAAGCTGAAGATATTGACAAAATAATATCTGCTGAGATACCAGACAAGAATAAAGAACCAGAGCTTTATGAGATTGTAAAAGATTGCATGATACATGGACCATGTGGTGCTATAAACAAAAATTCTCCATGTATGGAAGAAGGGAAATGTACAAAATTTTTCCCAAAGAAGCATGTTGATCAAACTACAGTGGATAAAGATGGCTTTCCAGTTTACAGAAGAAGGAAAACAAAGAACTTTGTTGAGAAGAAGGGTTTTAAATGTGATAATCGTTATGTTATACCATATAACAAAGTTCTATCACTACGATACAAGGCTCACATAAATGTTGAGTGGTGTAACCAATCAGGGTCTATAAAATACTTATTCAAGTATATTCATAAAGGATTGGATCGTGTCTCTGTGGTAGTTGAGCCAGCTTCAAAAGTTACTGAAGCAGAAAATAGTTCAAACCGCATACAGAAGCAGAAAGACCAGCCTGTACAGACTGCTACTGGAAACAGTACTTCCAATGAGATAAAAGACTTCTTTGATTGCAGGTTAGTTATGTATTTTATGGAACGTTCACTACATACTAATGTCATTTTATGTGTACTCATGGTTATTCGTTCTTCCACTAACAATGCAGGTATGTATCTGCATGTGAAGCAGGATGGAGAATTTTGAAAAATCCAATATGTTACAGATCTACATCAGTTCAAAGGTTATCTTTCCATTTGCCCGGAAAACATTTCATTTTTTTTAAGGGAGATGATGATGTACAAACAGTTGTAGATAAGGGGGAGTGCGTGCTCAGCATGTTTCTTGCATGGTTTGAATTGAATAAGGTCAGTGAGCTTGCGAGAAGTTTGACCTATGCACAAATACCAGAGTATTTTACATGGGATGGGAAAAGGAAAAAGTTTAATTTGCGCAAGAGACCAGGTTCAAGCATTGGAAGAATCAATTATGTTCCAATCAGTTTGGAAGAAGGTTATTATCTAAGAGTGCTTCTAAACACACAAACTGGTCCAGAATGTTTTGATGATCTTAAAAAGGTGAAAGGAGTTGTTTATAAAACTTTCAAAGAAGCATGTTTCCACCTTGGATTGCTTGACAATGATCAGGAATATATTGATGACATCATAAGAACCAGTTTTTGGAGCACTGGAAATTTCTTGAGGCGTCTATTTGTCGTTATGCTTCAATCATTTAGTTTGTCACAAGCCGAAATTGTTTGGGAAAAGACTTGGGAACTTCTTGCAGAGGACATAGAGAAAGAAAGGAGGGAATATTATAATCGCCCAGGTAATTTATGTTCTCATTTAGAAAGCTTTCTTATAGAACTTATAGTGATGTTGATTCTACACTTACACTTGCTATGTATGTAAAGAATTGTTTATATTGATTTGCAGAGCTCACTCTAGATGATGAAGAAAAGAAGAAATACGCCTTATTGAACATTGATAGCATATTAAAGAGCAATGGAACCTCTTTGAAAGCCTTTAGTACAATGCCTCAAATACCCGAAGATAGTATGGATGACACAAATGTTTTGATTTTGGACGAGAAGAACTATGATCGTCAAGAACAGAAGGAAAAACACGATAAATGGGTGAAACAAATGACCGGTGAGCAAAAACAGATCTACGAAGAGATTATTGAAGCAGTGGATAATGATATGGGAGGTGTATTCTTTGTTTATGGGTTTGGAGGTACAGGAAAAACATTTCTATACAAGACTTTGTCAGCAGCATTGCGATCTAGGGGATCTATTGTTCTAAATGTTGCTTCAAGTGGCATCGCTTCTCTGTTGTTAGCTGGTGGGAGGACTGCGCACTCTAGATTCGGAATTCCAATCAATCCTCATGAGAGTAGTGTATGTACTATTTGCCCTGGATCAGATCAAGCACAATTGGTGGCTGAAGCATCTTTGATAATTTGGGATGAAGCTCCAATGATGAGTAAACACTGCTTTGAATCTTTAGATAGAAGTCTCGATGATATTATGAAAGGAGATGGGAAGAAGCCTTTTGGAGGGAAAGTTGTTGTTTTTGGAGGAGATTTCAGACAAGTTTTACCAATTATACCAAATGCTGGTAGAGCTGAAATATGCATGGCTGCACTTAATGCTTCTTACATATGGGAGCATTGTAAAGTTTTGCAATTAACCAAGAATATGAGACTTTTATCAACTAATTTGACAACTACAGAGGCAAAAGATCTTAAGGACTTCTCAGAGTGGATTTTGGCAGTTGGGGATGGAAGGATAGCTGAACCTAATGATGGTGAAGTTATGATTGATATTCCAGAAGAATTTCTAATCACTGAAGCAAGAAATCCTATTGAGGCAATAACAAGAGAGACTTATGGAGATACAAAGTGCTGGAAAGATAAAACAGATCCATTATTCTTTCAGGAGAGAGCTATTTTATGTCCAACGAACGAGGATGTTGGCATTATTAATGAATATATGCTAGACCAATTAGAAGGTATGTACAATCTACAACCCATCGAATACTTTTGTTTTATAATAGATAGGAAGTTATTTATTAAACGTTAACTTAATAATATGAAATATTTTCTCTATCATATTAGGTGAGGAAAGAACATACCTAAGCTCAGATTCTATAGATCCTGCAGACAAACGAGCTGGAAACAATCCTGTTTTGACACCTGATTTTTTAAATAGTCTAAAGGTTCCTGGCTTGCCAAGTCATAGAATAAGATTGAAAGTAGGTTGTCCTGTCATGTTGCTAAGAAATATTGATCCTAGAGGAGGCCTAATGAATGGTACAAGGTTGCAGATTACACAATTGGCTGAGTTTGTTTTGGAAGCTATCATTATTACAGGGGATAGGGTCGGTGATAAAGTCTTAATACCTAGGATATTGATAACTCCTTCAGACACGAAACTGCCGTTCAAAATGCGTCGGAGACAATTACCTTTAGTTGTAGCTTTTGCAATGACTATTAACAAAAGTCAGGGACAATCCTTAGATTATGTTGGATTGTATTTGCCTAGGCCATGTTTCTCACATGGACAGCTTTATGTTGCAATCTCTAGAGTGACTTCTAAGAAAGGGTTGAAGGTGTTGATAGTGGACAAAGAAGGAAAGCCACAGAAGGAGACAATCAATGTTGTTTTCAAAGAAGTGTTCCAGAATTTGGGATGAAGTTTCTACTCTTTGGAATAATGATTTCAGGTAAATCTTATTTAACATTCAAATGTATTATATTATCGTCTATAGCTTTGTTATAAAGTTTCTTTAAGTCAATAGCCAAGTATAAACACTCTATATTCTATTGCAGGTTAATTGCAATCAGAAGTGGAATAAATAGCCAGTTATATGCAGTCCAAAGAAGAACTCTTCGGCTCATGTAATATAACAGGAAACAATGCTCTATCATTTTCTAAACTAGACTTACAATTTTTCGATTCAATAAGGTTGTATGGTTTTTTCATGTTTGGTTTAGATTAGTGCATTAGCATTAATTTGAATTCAAACATTTTTCCATACCAATACCATCTATGTTGTATGCAGTCCACAGAAGAACTCTTTGGATCATGTATTATAACAGGAACCAATGCTCTATCGTTTTCTAAACTATACTTAATGTTTAACTACAGCTTATCTGAATCTATAATCAAACAATGTTCAATCGTTTTCCAATACGTTTATCACTATAATAAGTTTTTAGTATTCTTTAAAAGGTTTTAACAAACAATAATACTTATTAGTTTCATATACAATATAGTTAACATGTACTCATCAGAACATTTGTTTCCACATTCAGGAAAACAATAAGTTTGGAAACTTTTGAGTTATTTTACATTAACGCAATGTAAAATAAACTAAAAAGAGGAATTTACTAACCATGTATAAAAAATTGTCTAATTGATAAAGCTCCCGACCCGTGTAATATGTAACCATTTAACCTCTACATATCAAACCAATGAACCTGCAAATTAATTGATCAACTTATAAACATCAAAATTCAGGAAGATACATGTCTGATTCATATGAAACAAGTGTGTGGGATTCAAGAACTTATCTGGAGAAATTTGAATAGTAGTATTCCAATCTGCAAATCGAAAAGGAAAAAATATTTTTTAAAGATTAGGCCAAATGAAAGTGATGGATTGAAAAAGCTATGGAACTAAATACAACCAGATTGAAGACGATTACCACAGAACCAAAACAACATGAACGGAAATTAGCAAAAGTCGAAACGATTTAAAAGATACCGAAAACGATTTAAATCTCAAAGATTAGAATCTCAAAGATTAGATATGAAGAAAACAAACCGAAATCAATCAGTAAACCAATAGAAAATGAAATTAAACAAAGAATATGACAATTACGAACCTTATCATCAGATAAATCCCACAAAAAAACCCAGTTCAAACACTCTTACTCGAATCGATTTCAGGCCGCCGATGTCGCAGGTAGATGACAACATTTTATTCTCTGTCTTTTAGTTTTTTTTATTAATCTCCAAATTTCTTCTTTCCTATGTTTTTCAAATAATATTTTGTATACTTTCGGTGGAAAAACAATGCTGGGCCAAGTGTTACCAAAAAAATAATGTTGGGCCTGTACAATATTCAATGTCTAACAACTAAAAACACATTAACAATTTACAAATGTCAACAATTGTGTAGCAAACTAATTGATGTGTTCAACTATTTTAATTCTGTTTTTCATATCATTTTAAGAACCAAGTACATAATATTTACAAAAAAACTGATACAAAAAAACCCGCACGTACGTGCGGGTCGGTCCCTAGTATAGCTTTACAAACTATTTTTTATATCAAATATAGTTATAACCTTATGAGCTAAAATTTGAAATGAAATAACAGTAAATAAAAAGTCATGCTTGACCTTTAATCTCAATAAACAAAAAATAATCATCGAGTAAGGTAAGGAAAAGGCTGTTGTAGTTAAGATGACATACGAACAAATAGATGAGAACCAATTAAGATCCCAAAACAAGTTCTCTCTATGACTTACAAGGCTGAAGGAACTTAAAATCTAGATTTGCATAAGCTTCAAATCCTCTACATGATCTAGAAAGGTGCAACCTTTAAATGCTTCCATGCCTTGCATTTCAACTTTTTTGACTGTGTTGCTCTCGATATTGTAGTAGAAAACATAGAAATGCATACCACCCACCGATCGAGTGGAACACAAATTCATTCGTCAGAGTCATTCCAACAAATTCTAAAGAAGTGTTTCCCACTATATCATGCCACGTCCTAGGCAATACGTATGCATGCTTCGACCATTCTTGCCTTTCGACATCTTCTAGAACCCACAATTCCATATTTATGATTCGGCCATAAGCAAGGTTTCCAAGCGGAAAAAAACATAGTTTCCCGTTGTGGTTGATTAGGGTTCCACAAATCCCATCTCTACCAACAAATCTGAATTCTTCAGACCTAACATTAAAGCAAACTATCACAGGATGAGAGTTGACCCTCGTGATCCTAGCATGGTAATACAAAATACCATTTATGCATATTCCTGCATTTGAAGTTCGATGTGGTATGCCACATTGGATTATCCTCCATGTCCATGACATGTCTCCTCTTCATAAGGTCAAAATTTGATACTCATCAGACCTACTTTTGAGTGAACAAGAATATGTCTTGGTCAATACCTTGAATTGTTTTTCAATTGGATCGTACCCAAAGAAGCTGCGTGCCCAAGATCTCACTTTGGGTAAAGGTACGGATTGTCCTGAGCTAGAGTTATATATCACCAGCACCAGATGATGGTATCAATTGGGATAGACAAGGATTTTTCTGTTTCAGACGTTTTCATGGCGGACATGAAAAAAACCCTAGGAGAGACTCCTTCAGCCGAAGAAACCCCTGCGGCAAGACACTCCTTGCAGCATTTATCACAATGCTAGATAATGGGCTTATTGAAAACCCTAAGGTTGTATAAGGCCCAAACACTTTACCTAAAGAGTTTAAAAATTCAAACGTGACGCAACGTCACCGTTTTGGTTTTTTCCTACATTTCCTTTAATATAAATCGCCAAATTTTGTAAAAACCCTAATTGACGACGGCTAGTAAGATGAATGACGGCGGAGCTAAGGCGGAGACGCTGCTCAGGGTTGCAGAGATCGGAGGAAGAGGAAGGAGTTTGGTGGCGGCACAGTCTCTACGTGCTGGAGAAGTTATTCTCAGAGAGTCTCCTCTTCTTCTCTACTCTGCTTTCCCATTTCTCTCCTCCTCTGCTTCTCCTTACTGCGACCATTGCTTCCGTTTGTTAGCTTCGTCGGCGCAGCAGAAATGTCAATCTTGCTCTCTCGTCTCCTTCTGTAGCCCTAATTGCTTCGCCTCTCACACTCCTTGGCTATGTGAATCTCTTCGTCGGCTTCACCAATCATCGTCCTCTGCATTCTCCGATCAACCTTCTGATCGCCAAGTTCAAGCTCGTTTCCTCCTCTCTGCTTACAATCTCGCCGCTTCTTCTCCTTCTGATTTCCAGATTTTGCTCTCGCTCCAAGGTAGTGGCAGCAGCAATGGAGATCCTTCTTCTTCTTCTTCTGCTACTGATTCTGCAGCTGCTGGGTTTCTTCACTCTCTTTTATCCGCCGTGTGTCCACCTCTTCCGGTCTCAGTCTCGCCGGAGCTCACGGCGGCTTTACTGGCTAAGGATAAAGTTAACGCCTTTGGTTTAATGGAACCTTTCTCTGTTTCGAACGAGAAAAGATCGGTGCGAGCTTATGGGATTTATCCAAAGACTTCGTTTTTTAATCATGATTGTCTTCCTAATGCTTGTAGATTCGATTATGTTGACTCTGCTTCTGATGGTAATACTGATATCATCATTAGGATGATTCACGATGTCCCTGAAGGTAGAGAAGTTTGTTTGAGCTACTTCCCTGTGAACATGAACTACTCGAGCAGGCAAAAGAGATTGCTTGAGGATTACGGTTTTAAGTGTGACTGTGATCGGTGCAAAGTGGAATCTAGTTGGTCGGAAGGTGAGGAAGATGAGAATGAGGTTATGGAAGAGATGGAGAATGAAGATGAAGAGGAAGAAATGGAGGATTCAGATGGTGAGAATGGAGAAGAAGTTTGTGGAAGTGGTGTGGATGATGAATCCAGTTTCCCTCACGCCTACTTCTTTGTGAGATATATGTGTGAGAAGGAGAATTGTTTTGGTACTCTCGCTCCGCTTCAGCCAAAGACTCATGATGCGTCGAGGGTTCTTGAATGTAATGTTTGTGGAAGTATTAAAGAGGATTAAGTTGGAGTAAATCAGTGAGACTCAAGCTGGTTCTGTGGTTGATGCAGACAGACCGAAATACCAAGAATTTTGTCTTGTTACGTTTTGTTTATGTTTGGTTCCTCTACTCAATTTCAAAAATCGGATTAATCAAAGCTTTAAACTATTGCAATTTAGATTTTTTTTTTGTTTTTTTCTCCTACATAGTCTTCTGAGTGAATTGTAATGGTCTGTGGAATTATATTGAAGCATCAGTTTTGTTGTGTATTTGGAGCAGCAGCTTTTGCCTCATTGAAAGTAAAATCGAGCCAACTATTACAGCATTTTTAGTGCCTGATAGGCATAATAGTTCTATCTAATCTAGGGTTCATTGCTGTTTTAAGAACGAGCCAGCTTAGGGCGACCATTATATGTATAACCTTTCAATGTATCGATTAAAACATACATATAACTTTTTTTTGTCAACATAACTATAACATTCATTAGAACAAAAAAAAACAAAAAACATTGGATGTATTAACATTTGGAAGGCTTTACCAGTCAACCCCAAAGTTATTTTTGTCAATTAACAAGTAAACCTAAGTTGTGACGACATTTGAAAGAACACATGTATATATCATCGTACCTATGCCTCGTTAAATTTTGCGGAAGATAAGCGCACTTGAAGCACAAACGAAAGTCACACTCATCACAGCTTATCATTGACCGCGGCATACATGCACATGCACTGCAAAACCTGTAGTAATCTGTTGAGTAGTATAAAGCATGTGGATGGCTTTTGTGCACAAATGGTTCTGAAAATGAACCGCAACGAACATCTAGGATGTTACGACTATCAACTTCATACCTGAAGCCAGTGAACAGTTGCTTACATGGCATACAACTAAAAGCTTCAAGGTGGGAATCTGTGCGTAGCGTGAAAGGTAGGTTATGGCACACATGTCGCTTCTTCCGAGGAAGGTTAGCACATTTTTTGTGGAGTATAAAATCGCATTGCTCGCAACTGTAGAACGGTTCTGAACAAACCTGGACAACGCAAGCTGCACAAACTATGTCATCATGCAAAATCCGGCCATCCTTGTTGATTTGTAAGTTATGATCATGGCTGAAATGTTTCATTGTGCTATCATCAATCACCTCGAATGGCGCAATTTCCTCTTCTTCGGGTATCCCTTCTAGTTCTACCATGTCCCAAACATTGCCGCTAGTTGCGCATAGTGGATGAACAACATAGTTAGAACATTTTGAGCAAGAATAAGCCCCAAAGAACCCATCTACATCATCACGGCAAACTCCACATTTCCATTTCCCATGTCCAAGGCGATGAGTGTAAGAGATGCGATGATCGTAGCGATTGATGTTTATCACACGCGGTAGGTCGATACATTCCCAATGAATCATGGAATTACACTGAAGACAAAAATAAGGGCTTCGGTCACCTTGAGTCCCACAAGCATTGCAAGTGAAATCGATTCGCCTTGGAACAAGATAAAGCTGATGTTCATGTGTCTGTCACGCTTACAACACCAAGCGGAAGTATCAATAAGTCTATCAAGCCAAATACTGTATCTATTTAATTTTGTAAGTATCATCCTTTTTTCTTTTTCTTTCAGAAATACATAGTACAGGTTCTTGTTAAAGCATCATACGAGAATTCAATTGATCTAGGCTGATTGATATTTTGTTGTGTTGGCCAAGCTTTAATGTTTTGGAGTGATTTTTTTTTGTCTATAAAACCCTTTTTGTGGTGTGGATTTTATGGCTCTGATACCATGTCAAGAGACCTTTGGTTTGTGTAAAATAGAATCTCTCGTTTATTATCATGTACATGGTTTGCCTTATATACACAGTGGGAGTGATAACACTACTTGACCTACTTACAATGTAAACAACAAAACAATCGAGACCCAATAGGCCCAATATACAATGACTATGTGACTTAGTGAAAAGGAACTGTCAAGGAGATCCGTAGTGATAACATTTCTCTCAAATATGTTAGACTCTGATCTGTTCTGTTTTGCTCTGCTCTGTTCTCAATTATACATTTGTATTTGATTAAACCATAATTATAACATTCATTACAATAAATCGTACAAATCTCATCAGTCTTTTTTGTTCCCTCGCTTTACTTTGTCTTCTTCATAATGAGCATCCTTAATGGCTGTAAGATACAGTGAACTTTATCTTGTCGGTATTTATTTCATTGCAGCCATTACAGTGAGAAGTCATTTGAATTCAACGACATACTCATAACATTCATTAAGACAAATGATACAAAGTGTTTCTTCACTAAAAAAATGCCTTAAAAAACTCTGAAGCGGACAATGCCAAGACATTTGAAAGAACAAACGTATACAATTTTGCCCTTGCCAGAATACTTGAGAATAGTAGAGAGCTTGCATCGAGTGTTACACACAGTGCAAACTGGTCTACAAGTAGACGTGTTGGAAACATATTCTGCTTCATAGGGTATTACTGAATTTGGCTTTATATATGTGAAGTCTCCTTCAACACATGAAATATGCAATATGACCCCACAATCATTGCATGTATAAAACCATTTCTTCGGATCCACTTGTGTCTCACAAGCTTCACACCAATACTTGCCATCTACACTACTACTTTCACCGTAAGAGAGGACTAGAGGGTGATCGTCGTACCTATGCCTCATTACCTTATTCGGCAGAAGAGCACACTTGAAGTCCAAACTGAAGTTACACTCATCACAACTAAACCATCCTCTCTTCCCACATTCACTGCAATGCTTGGAGTTATCTTTAGAATAGTATAAAGGATGTGGATGGCTTTCGTGCCATAATGGCTCTGAACTTGAACCGCACCTTACATCGAGAGTCATATTATTTAGTGACTTGTACCTGAATCCGTTGAACCTTTGAAAACACAGCTGACATGTAAACTGTTTGCATTCAGAATTCGTGTCAAGTGTGAATGGTTGGTAGTGGCACATGTGTCTCTTCTTCCGATGATTTTTGGCACATTTTTGGTGGAGACAAAAACCACACTGCTTGCAACTATAGAAAGGTTCTGTACAAATCTGGAAGACACATGCTTGGCATAGTTTGAGTTCCTCTAGATGGTTACTCCCATAGTTGCTGATTTGTAAGTTATGTTCATGGCTAAAATGTTTGATGGTGTTATCATCAATCACCTCGAATGGCGCGACTTCCTCAGGCTCTTCGGGTGTCCCTTCCAGTTCGATCATGTCCCATACATCACGTCTTGTTGCACATCTTGAATGAACAACATAGTCAGAACATTTAGAACAAGAATAACCCCCGTAGAACTCATCTACTCTCTTCCGGCAAACTCGGCATTTCCAGTTTCCATGTCCAAAGCGATGTGTATAAGTGATGCGATGATCATGACGGTTGATGTTTATAACGCGTGGCAAATCAATACACTCCCGATGAATCATGAAGTTGCATTGAAGACAGAAATAAGGGCTTCGGTCACCTTGTGTCCCACAAGCATTGCAAGTGAAATTGATACATCTTGGAACAAGATGGAGTTGATGTTCATGGGTCGTAAGGCTTGCAACAACAAGCGGTGGTGGATTGCTCATACATCGACTGCATATGCTAAAGTTACAAACATCACAGTGGTGAAGATTTCGAAGCATGATTCCGCAAAGAAGGCACTTCTTGTCGGCGTAATCTGGTGCTGCTTTAGCTGTAAGGCACTTGAGCTGGTGTTGGGGGTGGGAAGGGTGGCTTGCCTCTGGAAAAAAATTGGCACACTCCAGATGGAAGACTAATTCACATTGATAACATCTATAACATTGTTCTCTGTCGTAAACTCTGTATTGGCATGCTTTGCACGATATCTCGCCAGACTTGAGACCATTGAAGAGATCAAGCGGATGCTCATGGAGATTGGACTTTTCAAGAACAAGAAGTGGGGCTTGTCCGCCGGCACAAGATAAATCCAACATGAAGTCACAGATTGAACAGATATAACCATATTGGAAGGAAACTCCACACTGACTACAAGTACACGACCGGCCTTTTAATAGCAGCTTGAGAGGATGGTCGGGATGAGAAGGGTGGTTGATTTCTGGTAAAGACTCAGCACATTCTTTATGAAACAAAATGTTGTGACACCCCAGTTCATTGCAACGGTAGCCTTTGTAAATGTACCCAAAAATCCTACACCCTTCACAAGGCCTCTCGATAAAGCGAGCAAAAGGTAATAAAGGATGTTTGTGAATTGGTACCTCTACTTTGTCCATGGTGGTTTGCTTTCTTCCAAAATCCAAATCAAGCCCGAGCTCTGTTTCAGTGTGAGCTTTTTTCTTTTTCTTTTTTGAAGTTCTTTCGGATCTGTTTAAGGATGCAAGAATCTTGATTAATTCTTGCTGCAACAAAAAATATATAATGTAAATTAACCCCACACCACGTGAAATGGCTCTTTTCCTATTGAGTCCACGACATTTGCGACATTCGAGACAACTAAAGTATGAATTATCTATGAAGTTGAGACAGCATTCGCGACTTTCCAGGTTTTATTCACCTTTAATATTCTCAATGTTTCCATTATCTATGAAGTTGGTGAGCAACAAAAGCAGAAGAGGTCTAGTTTGTTTAATCAGCGGTTAAGAGTTTCGTAACTTAAGACAATGTTTTATGTTAAAGGATGAATGAGACAAGAGTTATATTTATAGCGGAAGATGTATGTAACTCTACTACTCAAACGTTTAACCAGGATATGAACATTGTGGAAAGAATCTTCTGTATCTTCTTCTTCTTCAGTGAAACATGAAACCATTGATGGTAAACGATAGAAAACTAGCTTTAATAGTTTCTTCTTGTTCAATGTTTATAGAATTCAAGGGAAGAAATTTCTGATTCATCTTGTTACTGCAACATTATAAAAAATGGAAACAACAGAATTACAAATGAGAAAATGTCCATCTCAGCTTCAAGACGATGGGGATTGTACTTCATCCAAGCGCTTTTAGCGCATTTTGTAGAAATGGGTCCTTGAGATCTTGCAATGTTGGCCATTCAAAGAATAATTGAGCTTTATGTCAACGTCTCTGGGATTCTTTTTGTTTTGTGCAATCGTCATACTTCCGGTGATTGTTTCACCCTCGCATATGGTTAACACATCTTCCAGGTACATAACTGTTTGTTTCCAGTGTGTTGCCCGAGATTTTGGTCCTGCATTGCATTTTGTGATTGTACCATGAGTTCCAAATATCAAAAGAAAACTATCATCAACATACTTGTCTGTTGTTTTGGGAAGCCAAAGAATCAGAAACTATGCAGGAAAAGTGTGAACCTGTTGAGAAACCCATCTTCTTGTGGCACATGGTGAATGCTACATCAAAGTAGGCTACAAGGGCATGGATATGGTCATTTCGTTGTGCGACGAGCTTAAATGGTGCTGTGAAAGAAGCATCTCCAGAATCCATCTTAGAGATATCCATGGTCTTGAGTAAAAAACAAAAAGGCCGAAAACAAATGAAATTTGCATTAGCTACAAGTAACTAAGGAGATATAAGTAACTACTCCAGCACAATCTCACTTACCTTCAGCAGCTTGCTATCAGTCACGATCTGGTTTCCATCCACCGTGTCAACAAGAGGTTCTGTAATTGCTCTTCTCTTGATGCATGACATGTCAAACCCATACACGTCATCCCAAACTGTACAGGAAACGATAAGAGGCAAAGCCGATGACAAAAAAAAATCAGGTTTAGAAGATATATGATAGCAAAAAACACACAAGATCTTTCAGATTACTCACACTCTACTTTGTCTTCTTTATAATGAGCATCCTCTATGGCTGTAACATACAGAGAAGCTTTATCTGGTAGAACAATTCCGCCATCAACCTAACCAAAAGCACACCAAACTGTTCATAGCTATGATTAAGCTATCGTCAACCATAATTGTAATAAGATGAAAACTCTCACTTACAAGCCATTTATTGCGAGCATACAAGACAGTGTCGAGCATATTTTCATACAACAAAAAGTAACCCATCCACTCAGAGATAATCACATCCACTTTAGGAACTGGAAGTTCAATTTCCTCAATCTTCCCTTTCAAAACCGTTATAACTGCCACAATAACCCACTTGTGTCAGCCAACTACCATCAGATTATATAATCCATTTGAATAACACTCTAAACACAAATTACATACCATCTGAAAATCCATTAGACTTAACAATCTCCTTTGCTGTGTCAGCCATTTGAGAACATTCAACCTATTCAACAAATCATTTGTCAAATCACATATGTATATCCAAATCACTCAGGAGCAAATTTATGATTAAAGAAGTAGATAAAAAGACATACAGCGTAAACATGAGCTGCTCCTGCTTTAGCACAGAACAAAGACAAGATTCCTGTTCCAGCTCCAACATCAAGAACAATTTTGTCCTTGATAAGAAACTTGTTCTTGTAAATAACATCTTGATAACTCTTTGTCCTCACTACATCTTTTAACATTTCCTAATAATAAATAACATCACCATACAAAACTGTTATCACACATTGCCTAGTTTCTTCAGAACAAAGGATACAAAAAATAAAAAAGCAGGAGACTTACTTCATGAATACCTGCAAAAACCAATAAATTGAAAACAGAGTAAGAACTTTGTCGAGAAGAAAACATCAAAGGAAGCTAAAAACATGAACTTTGAAGGATTTATACCAAAATGGGAGTAAGAATCGAAGTAGTAGTCGGCGCTGGTAACGTCATCAGCAACATCGGCACTGTTGTCACCTCCATCGGACATTGATACATCAGCGTCCTCCAAGTGTAACTTCGTCTCCTGACTTTGATCAGAGCCGTTGTTCTTCGTACTAGTCATTTTTGCGGCAAAGAGAGAGAGATACAGAGGGTTTTGGTAATGGAGACTGACAGATTCGAATAAGCAGAGATTTATTAGGGTTTTAGGATACGAATCTATTTGTACGATTCTGATTCAGCCGCCGGTTCAATTTTTTTAACCGGTCTGGTTTATACCGATCCGGTTTGGTTATTTTGATATAAGCAGTGTAGCTGAATTAAAATTAATTTTAGAAATTGGAGCAAAAAAGAGAAGAGCTGACGCTGGTGGTGAGTGGCGAGCACGGCGGAAGGTACGGCTTGGTCACGATCACCGATTCGTTCTCCTTTGATTTCGTTTTTAGGGTTTTTATTTTCATCTATAAGTCTTCTTCTCTCTTTTGGATTCTGATTTCTAGGGGTTTAAAGTCTGGTTTCTCTTTGATTTGACTCTCAGATCTAATTTTGAATCTTTTCACTGCGATAATGCTTTGTGAGTTTTGGATTGCTTGATTTTTCTGACTATTTGGATTCGTTTGATCTGTTGTTCTGTAACTGGTGACTAGAGTTTTAGTGATTTAGCTTTGATATGTGTGAAATTCATGAAAAGTCTTGTGCTTTTGGATGACTTGATTCTGAGTACATTTTTTTTTCAGTTTACGTTTTAGGTATCGGAATTTATCTTGGATGTTTGTAATAATCAATCATGAACTTGAATATGATTGCTTTAGAAACTTTGGAACTGTCCTTATCGATGAGCTGGTCTCTCTTACTTGAGTTTGATTAGTTTCTGTAATTTTGAAGGATTGTGATTGTGAAACATGGCATCAAAATTGGTACAACTTCAATCAAAGGCATGTCAGGCTTCAAATTTTGTGGCCAAGCATGGGACTTCCTACTACAAGCAATTGTTGGAGAAGAACAAACAATTCATTCAAGAGCCTGCATCTATTGAGAAGTGCAACGAATTGTCTAAGCAATTGCTCTACACTCGTCTTGCTAGGTCAATACCTTTTTCTTCTCTCTTTTTCTCTGGTCATATTTCCAAGGGCCATGCTCTAGATTCAGGGTTACTGAGATTTTTTTCCCTCAGACTATCTTTTATGTTTACTTTTGAAGCATTAATCTTCAGACAATGCTGAGGAAATGGATTTGCATTACAAGCAAGTAGTTAGCCTTATAGACTTTGTAGATCTGAAAAAGATATGCTTCAAAACTTTGGTGTTATCTTTCCCGTAGTTTTGGTCCTCAATGGAATAAGCTGGTAAATCTGTGATGATTCGGTTGTCTCTGTGCCTATCATGTTTTTACATTCCCAATTACACAATGTGTGATCCACACTGTGTATTTGATATCAGTTTGTAGGAATTTGTCTTTCGGTAATTTGCAATCTTGATTCTATAGCTAATACTCACTCTTCTTACTACCTACAGCATCCCAGGGCGCTACGAAACATTTTGGAAAGAAGTAGATTACGCAAAGAACTTAATAAAGAACCGAGCGAACTTAAAGGTGGAAGATGTAGGAATCGGTGCATTGTTTGGCTTAGAATGCTTTGCTTGGTATTGCGCGGGTGAAATCGTTGGCAGAGGATTCACTTTCACCGGCTACTACCCTTGAAATTGAGACAACAGCAATGTCGCCGGAATATCTTTCCCGACGCTTGTAACTCCCCTCCATATGATTCCTCACTGAGCTATATATACTTCCTCGAATCCATTTATATTTTCAGTCTTTTCCTGAAACAGAAGTTTTGGAGCTAAGGAAAAAAACCCATTTTGGTAAAGCTCCTAATAAGAAATTGAGAAAAATGCACTTGATCCAAGATTCTTCTTTAGATATATTTGTAAACTTTTACTCGAAAAGTTTAATATTTGAAGCATCAGAGAAGTTTTTTTAAAAGTATATATCAATTGGTTGTGAATAACCGAATAAACTTTTCAACAAGAAAAAGTTGGAATAACTGAAAAAATAATAAACCAATAAAAAACATTTATATGCACAAGAAAGACAGAAAGTGAATATTTTTAAGCTGTTCTTTCCTATTTTATTTGAGAAACTGATAATATCATAGCGAAATTAAATTTTGCAGTTAAGAAAATACAGAATATAAATATTTAATACTATGTACAGTTTTTTTTTGAGTTGACTCAAGATAATATATCAATTTAACTCAATATCTCAGCGACAAAAATATTCAAAAAATAAAATAAAATAAAAAATCGAAGAGCGAGAAAGCAGGAAGACCAATGAGATCTTAAGGAGAGACCCAATTGGAACTTTGGCTATAATCCGAAACCTTAGCGAAGAAGACAAGACAACGAACGATTTACGTTTACCCGAGAATCCAGGTACATCTACGAGACGACGACGATGATGCGTTTCGCGGCTGCTTTCTTCGTCACTGTCTTCGTCGTCCTCGTCAGTGTCGTTCGCAGCGAGGTTCGATTTGGTTCTGTGTTTTCTCTGTAAATCTTAGTTTCTATAATTAGACTTAAAGGAATCACATTCTTGTAGACTTTGACTTAATTGGAACCCCTGCCAAAATCTGATTTTGACAATGATTTTGCTAATTTCACTTCACTTGTACATGCCTCTGCTGGTTTCTGAGGAAAAATCAACACTTTAAATGTTTTTTTTGGTTTGTGTTTTAGTTTTACTGTTTCTTGAGATATACCAAATAATGAAATTGATTTTTTTTTCTCTTCGTTGTTGAATCAAATTGTTACAGGAGTGCACAAGAACATGTATTGCACAGAATTGTGACAGTAAGATTACATTTTTCTGATGTTTCCTCATATGTAATTTTTTTGTTCTTAGCTTACTCATATGTAGTTTTTTTTTTGTTTCAGCTCTCTCTATTCGATATGGGAAGTATTGTGGGATCGGACATTTTGGTTGTCCTGGTGAGGAGCCTTGTGATGATCTTGATGCTTGTTGTATGGTCCATGACAATTGTGTTGAGTCAAAAGGTAATCAATCAAGAAAACGTTTAATCACTCTTCTTAGCTGTACCTGGAATTGGGATGTAGTTTTGGTATTAGCTTCACATTGGCCAAAATTGGGTTTAGTTTTGGAAACCGGGAGAAGAATGATATGCCCATTAGACCTCTGATAATAGAGTGAGATAAACTGAAATGTAAGTACAGGTTCAGTATGAATGTAACTTGGCTTTGATTAGACCTTGTACCTAAGAATTCGGTTGATCTGTTATTTTTTACACGATGCTTAGTGCAAGGCTTTTGGATGTGGAGTATGATAACTCTCTCTAGGCCATCAGACTCTGATGGTTTTTAAGTGACTCTACTCCTTAATGGATCTTATCGTCTCATCTTTTATTTTCCTTGTTGCTTTGATTCTTTGTTCTTAAGCTCTACTTTAATGGATTCAAAGTGCTAAAAGATTTGTTGGTCTTGCATTGTCATTGTTATGCTTGCAAAATAAGTGGCCGTAGCTTAGATTTGAAACATATTACCACTTTTCATTCTTCTTAAGCTATAGTCTTGAATCTTGATGAAGTCAAATGCTAAACCTTTGGTCTTGAATTTGTCATTTTTACGCTGAACCCTTTGCGTATTTGTTTCCCACTTGCAGGTATGACTAACATAAGCTGCCATAAGAAGTTCCAGCGATGCGTAAGCAGGCTAAGCAAAGCGATAAAACAGTCCAAGAACAAAAAAGTCGGGTTTTCAACAAAATGCCCTTATTCGGTAGTAATACCTACAGTGAACCAAGGAATGGATATCGGAATCTTATTTAGTCAGTTAGGCAATGATATGAAAGTAGAGCTCTGAGTTTTGCTGCTCAGATGATATGATATATATACTCTGGTCTTGAAGGCATCACATTGGTGTTGGAACTATAGCTAATTACCACAGAAATTGTTTTACTGATTTTGATGACCTTAATTTTGTGCAAGTCGCTGATAGATTTAGCTTAAATTAAACACCATTGGATGATTTAACATGTAAATCTTGGACACACATGTGTCTATCTACGCAAGTTTTGACCGGAAACACTTGTTTTACATGCTTTCTAATATCCTAAATTTGAGTTATGGTTTTGTTGTTGTAGCAATGGTACAAAATTACAACTGATGCATTCCATTAGCGGTAGATGATGAAAATGATTCGGACAAAGTGTAAAGCAAACAAAAAAAATTGCAAATTAAAAGTCTTGAAATAATCCTAAAATTGTTATATTAATCTGATTACATGTATATAGACAAGTCAGTCCACGAGGCACGAGTAATGTATCTGTTTTCGTGGAACGTGCACCGGATCACAGAGGATCCTTCCTAAACATTTATATTTAACAGTTTCGCGCAGACTCCAACCTAAATGTTTTAATATTTTAGTTTTAGTCTTCTCTTCTTCTTCTTCTTCCTCTTCTTCTCAAAATCAATTTTTTTACGTTTCTTCAGGGTAGGTCCGCGCGAATAATTCCATTCTTCAGATCATAGATTAGATTTTGCGTCTCATCTAAATTAACAAGTACAACAAAATAAACCCTAATTTGTTGCTCTAGCGGTTATACCTGGTTCGATCAAAGTTACGATTTTTTTTTCTCCTCTTCTGATAAATATCGTATCCATGAAGAAGGTGCTTCATCGAGGTTTTAAACCTGCTAAATGGTAAATTTCGATTCTGGGTTTCTTTATTTTTTTTGGTGTTTGAGATTATGTTACGACAACATCTTTAGATTTTATTTATGAATGAACCAAATATTCTGGTGAACTGAGTAATTAGATTATATTACTGTTTCATCGGTTGTTTTTGGATGGTTTTAATTTATCTTTTGTTGGGTTTTTGTGTTGATTTGTTGATTTTATACAATGCAGCAAGACAGCTTTGCAGATGGCTAATTCACGCCTTAAGATACTGAAGAACAAAAAGGAGATTCAGATTAAACAGCTGAGGAGAGAATTAGCTCAATTGCTCGAGTCTGGACAAACCCCTACTGCTAGGATTCGGGTAACCAACCTTTTCTCTTCTTCTGTGAAGAAAATTGCAAATTTGGGAATTTGGAACTTTTGTTGTATTATAGAATCTGAATTTTCTACTTGTTTGTTGATGGACATTGGGAATGTGGTTTTGTTATACCCTCAGGTGGAACATGTTGTTAGGGAAGAGAAGACAATGGCTGCTTATGAGCTCATTGGCATATATTGTGAACTTCTTGTTGTTCGCTTGGGTGTTATCGAATCGCAAAAGTAAGTAAGAAAGATTTCAACTTTATAACCTTGACAGTCTTCATTGCTGTTGCTTTTGTTTTCTCAATGTTTGATGTATTGATCGTTTGTGATATTACTTCAGGAACTGCCCCATTGATTTGAAAGAAGCTGTCACGAGTGTCTTATTTGCTTCTCAGAGGTTATCATCAGATGTCCCAGAGCTCTCTGAAATCGTTAAGCAATTCACAACCAAGTACGGCAAGGATTTTGCTACGTCTGCTATTGAGTTGCGTCCCGATTCTGGTGTGAGTCGCCTGGTAAGTGGTGGCTTCTCTTAATCATTGATGGTGATTTTGTATTTAGAACCCTCCTTGATTATGATTATTATATTTCTAGTTGGTGGAAAAATTGTCTGCCAAAGCCCCAGATGGTCCAACAAAGGTCAAAATTTTAATGGCAATCGCTGAGAAGCATAATGTCGTCTGGGAGGCACAATCTTTTGTTGAACCAGATCCAAAAGATTCCCTGTTGGTAAGTTATAACATTTCAGTGGAAAGGGATCAGTTGTTATATCTACTTGCTAGTGTTAACCATAGCTTGTATTTTGCTTCTGTTTTAGAGTGGAGCAAGCTCGTTTCAGCCAGCAAGTAGTATGAACATGGATTCATCTATAAAATCCAACAAGGAACAGCCTCCAGACGTCCAAGCTCCAGCTACTGTTAATGCTCAACATGGATCAAGTGAAAGACTTCATTTCCCAGAGAACTCGTATGCAAATGGTGGAAGATCTTCAATCCGTAGCAATAATGTTACTTCTGGGAAGGCTGGTGACTACTATCATCCAGATACAAGACCTTCTCGTAAGTGCTGTTTTTCTGCTATTTCGTTATTTGTATTTTGACTGAAACATTTAACCTGAGTTTTTTTTGTTTGTCTAACAGAGTCTAGGACTGATGAAGGAGAATGTAGAAATCCAAACCATGGCTATGAAAATTCATCTTCAAGAAGTAATCATAGGTGGGAAACAGAATTTGTTGATTCTACAGATGCTGCACGTGCTGCTGCTGAAGCTGCTGAAAGAGCAAGTTTCGCTGCAAGAGCAGCCGCCAAACTTTCGAGCAAAGAAAGGATGACGAGGCAGGATTCATCGGAGTCGTATGTATCCTCTGCATCTGTAAATTTTAGAAACGACCCTCCACATCAACGTAACAGATCGAATGTACAAAGCGAAAGTTTCTCTGAAGAACATTTTTCGCCAAGACAAAATCTTAGGATGCAGTATGAAGATATGGACAGAGCCAGGCAAGATAGATACGATCGAGCAAAGGAATCTGAGATTCCTCCTGTAGATCAGCCATCAGAAAGACATTCCCTGGAAAACTTGAGAAATAACGGTTCCTTTGGTAATAAAGGTAGAGAGAAGCAGCCAAGTGTGGAGACGGATTTAAATGTCCGGTACTCAGAACATGTTCACCTCAGGAAGCAGTCAAGCAGGACTTCATTGCATTCACACTCGAGCAATTATTCTGATGAGAATGTTAATAGTTCAGAGTATATAAGGTCACCCAGCATCGTGGAGGAAAACATTTTTGCCACTGATGATGAGCACCGATCTCAGAGCAGCTTTAAAGATACAGACACCCATTATCATAGGCATGATGAGGCTGCAGCTACTGATACTTATGATGACTATAGTTCATTTTTTGATAAACCTAAATTCGACGCGGAAGATAATTATTATCAAGACGAAATTGATCATGGTGTGGGATTCTCATTGCTTGGCAGCAAAACATCTGCTACAGCAGCGTCCTGGAGCTTCAAAGGAGACCAGACTAAGTCTCATGAAAAACACAGCAGCTCGAGCTCACAAGTTTTCCAAGAGAATCCAAGTTCCCCATTATTTGATGATGTCTCTACAAGTCCTCCGGCTTCTTACCATGAGCCTGAACCACAAATCAGGTTTGACGATTATAGTCCAGATTCAGAAAGCGGCGATGATCAGCCTGGAGATGTACATGAGAAGGGGAATCTGACATCTGATCCATCTCAGAAATTTAAAGTCTCTGATTCTGCCGGACACAAATCTCTCCTTTTCGACACAGAAGACCACAATGATAATTCGAGGACAAGGGAAGAATCAGATTCAGAGTCAGAGCCTCAGTTTGGTCTGAGGCTGGGAGCTTTGGCTGGTGGATTTAGGAACAGAAAGACACTCCCACCTTACAGAATGAGTCCTGCATCGTCCAAGTCTGAAAAGGAATATATCCAAACTGATGATTCTGGTCAGTCTATCAGAAAAGATCTTTACAGAAAGAAAGCAAGTAACACCGAGATGAGACCAAGTTCTCTGCCTCGTCATCCATCTTCTAGTGATGAAGACGACTCAGACATGCAACTTCCAGGAAGAACAGAATCAAAATCCAATTCCCTGTTTAGCCATTCCCATGTCAACCACAATGACTTGGACGAAGAAACCCTCCCAACTCGATATTCTTCAAGAAGTCAAGAGATGACTTATAAGCCATCAACGGGAATGAGAGATTACAAGAGACCGAACTTTAAGATGCCAGTTTCAGCATCATCTGAAGATGAGAAAGACGTCGAAAGAGAGACTGCACGTGTCAGTGTCAAGCCAAATAAAACAACTGGCTTCTCTCTAAGGACAAAAGGCCCAGCAAAATCCCATGAGAAACATTCATTCCCAGTGACAGCAAAGAAAACTGACAAAGAGTCTCATGATCAGCCATCTCCAAGGCACAAGACAGTAACTTCAAGCCCTGTTCCACAAACTGTAAAATCACCCGATCCAGAAACCCCATCAAGGGAGAGAGCTAGTCACGTTCATCCCAACCTCCCAGAATATGATGATATCTTTGCAAGGCTTGGGGCCCTTCGTGCTCCTAATCGACGCTGAATCTGCTCATCTTGTCCATCTGTTCATATATTTATTCTTTGCCACAGAGATCAGTACCCCTCATTCTTTACTCTTGACTGAATTTGATATATACTTACACATTATATAGATTAAGCAGTGGTGTGATTCTGCTACGTCGTGATTGGTTTTCTTTGTTGGTGTGGATAAACAGAATAGGAATGAACTATTTGTGAAGAAAGAAAAAGATTTTATTATACTAACATTTGAAATGTTGTCACAATAGAAATATATGTTGTTCTCTAAATTCCATTGTGCTCAAATTGCAGTGCAAGAAAAGAAAAGAAAACAATGAGGACAAAGCCAGGCAAATGACATATTCTCGCAGGATTTTGACATGTCAAAGTCCCTCCATAGGAGTGTCTTTCCGTATTTTTGATACCGGCAATTCAATGAAAGAAACCTAGGACTTGACCACCCACATTGCGTTTAATAGCCTCTTCATGGTCCAAAATGCCGTCAGGAGTTGTAATTACAACATAACCCCACTGCAGCATATAACAGAAGAAGGTTTAAGATACAGCTGCTATTAGTTGCATATTCGAAACTTGGGGTAAAACCGGACCTGGCGTGTTGGAAGTGTGCGTTCGGTGTATTGCCCGATCTCGCTTGCCTTAACGTCCTGCCTATAAGTGAGAGCTTTGCAATCATTAACCCTTCCTTGTAGATCAACAGTTATTCTTCCAACTCTGTGTGGATCATAGACTTGAAAGTTCTTGATGTACCCTATACATCAACATACATTTTTTTAAGTAACAGACAATTACCTGTTCTGTAAACGCAGTTTTAGCATATCAATGCTATCTATCTATAAATTTCAGCCACAAACTATCAAAGTTTAAGAGAACTACTTGAAATTATTAACTAAAATACTCAAACCACAAGCGCAAATCGAAACAAGCGTAAATTGAACCACGAGACTGGGGGAAAGGAGCAGATATGCCTTTCATCAACCATAGATCAAGACGTGAAATATGCATAAGAGTAAAAGAACAACTTTTTTAATCCTTTGCAATTAACCAAGAACAAAACTTTATCTTTGGACAGTGTTACCAGTCGGAGATCACACATTACAATGCCTGCTTGAGCTATAAGTGTTGAGAACTAACAAAGAGATCAGAGACTAAGGGGGTGTTATTGGATGGAGAATTTTAAGGGATTTTAATTATCGGTGGATTTTAAAGTTCAATAGCATTTAAATACAATTAAGATGGATTTGGTGTGAAAGAGATGAAATCCTTTGAAAATTGTTAGGATTGTGTTGGTACGTGTTTTAGATGTAAAATACATTAAAATCTTAAATGAAACAAAATCCATTGAAAATTGAATAACGCTTGTTTTTAAGTACTTTAAAATACATCCAACAAATGTTAAATCCAATAACAACAGATTTTATTGTGGTTTTTAAAATACATCATTAAATAACGCTAGATTTTGAAATACATCCAAATCAATTAAAATACAAGGTTGAATAACACCCCCTAAATATTAATCATATCTACAAGGTCTAACAAGTAACAACCAAGTGACTGAAACCAATGTCGATGACACAGATAAATCTAAACAAGTAAATGGAAGATTGGGGAGATGAAATTAAAACCCAATTGGAGCAGAAGGGAAAAAAAAAATCAAACCTTTCTCCTTCATGATTTTGAGAAAGGAAGACATTACAGTAGAGACAGGCTTCAACTCCACCGAAGCTTTCCCTCGCTTCTCCGCATTCACAATCGTTCTCAACGCGTCGTTCAGGATCCTCCTCCCCATTGATCGAAAATTCCTATTTCTAATACTCAAATCAAAAAGATCTAAAAACCTTAACTTCAATACAACAACTGAGAAAATGGGTTTATTATTTTCAACGTTACTCAGAAAAGTGGCATTCTCGTTATTCTTGTAATCTTTAAGGGTATATTAGACTTTTACCTTAAATTAGATGAACTAGGGTTTTATCTTTTCCAGAGGTCATATATAAATAGCTCCATCGTCTTCTCTCAAAGCTCCGGCGCCACCATTAAAAAACCGAGTCTCTCTCACTCTCTCTATCTTTCTCGACGACTTTAACGGTGAGTTTTAGATCCACTCTCAATCGTTCTTGTTTCAGTTTCTCTTGGTCATTTAGGAATTTAGGATTCTGATTTGATAGATCTTCGTATTTGGCTTGTTATTTAGTACTAGTAGTATTAGCCTTTAGGGATCCATCTGTTCGTATCTGTATTGTTGATTAGTCTTTGGTTGTTTTGGTAGGTTTCGAAATGGCCACCGTTCCAGGACAATTGATCTGGGAGATCGTGAAGAACAACAACTGTTTCTTGGTGAAACAGTTCGGTAGGGGAAACTCCAAAGTTCAATTTAGCAAGGAGACCAACAATCTAACCAACGCTCACTCCTACAAGCACTCTGGTATATTTTACACTTCTTAACACAATGATGTCTTTATCTAAATATGATTACTTTATGTCTCTGGTTGATTGATTTCAGTATTTTAGATTGTCAATTAATGTTTCTGGTGTTATGGAAGTGTCTCGAATATGTGATGATCATTGTTGAAATTGGCTTCTTCTATCTCGAACATGTATGTGTCTGGATTCTCGAATATATGATCAAAACTGTCTGTGAAATGGAGTTACTTTACATCTTCTGGTTAAGTATCTGTATTGTATGGTTTAGTTACATTCATAAAATGTAGTCATTTTTTATTCTATTGATTAAAAATGAAATGGGATTCTTGTTTCTTTTCTAAATGTGTTCTATGTGATTGAAGTCTGTCAATAAATTTAATGTTTTATGTGCAAGGCTTTGTAATAGATTCATGTATGGAATCTTGAATACAAAATTGAGATTGACTGGTTGAACAAGGCTAAAGTATGAATCTTTCAATGTGGATTCAGGTCTTGCAAACAAAAAGACTGTAACCATCCAGGCTGCTGACAAGGAACAAGCTGTTGTGCTCGCCACCACTAAGACCAAGAAGCAGAACAAGCCTAAGGTCTCTGTCAACAAGTCTATCCTGAAGAAGGAATTCCCCAGGATGTCCAAGGCTGTTGCCAACCAGGTAACCAGCAATTTTTACTGTGTTTATGGTGTGCTTTGGTTTGTTATGGAGAGTTCATTTATAATTCTGATGGTAAAATTACACATGAATAGATATTAGGATTTTCTTTTCTGAGATTATTATAAACGTGTAAAAGTCTTAAGACCTTTTGCTTTTATGGTTGTGAATTTAATCTAAACCAATTTTTTGTCTGAAATATATTAGGTGGTGGACAACTACTACAGGCCAGACTTGAAGAAAGCTGCTCTTGCTAGACTCAGTGTCATCAGCAAAGGCCTTAGGGTTGCCAAGTCCGGTGCCAAGCAAAGAAACAGACAAGCTTAAGCTTTTTTTCAAATATGTGTTTTGAAGTAAGAGATTTTTGCTGAACAGGATTATGAAGTTCTTTGTTGAAGTTGAACCATAACGCTATGCTCCTTTTCATTATCCTTTTCAAAAGGAGTTAGATGTTTTTCTTATTATGTTGCTTGTGTTTCATTTTGTTAGATCTTTTTATCTAATCAAGAATTTGCTTAAGCCTCAATTAAACATTTATTGATAAGTTGAACGTTATTGAAAATGAAGTACTTATATCTTATCTGAAAAAGTGAAAACTGAGTCTATCGCCAACATATTTTGTTTTACGATTCAGTACTAACAAAAACTAATGTTACGAAGTTGTACCTAACCATAATACATGATGATGTCGTAAAGATTTTTATTTTATTTTTTGTGTCAAGATTAACTGGGTAAATACAAAACGAAACCCAAAGCACAAAACCTACTGATTTAAGTTGCATCAATATATATATAGCTGAACCTCGTGGTCTCAACAAAAGCAAAAAAAGAACTAAGTTGAGAATCGGCCCATCTTAGCATACCTCGTACTTTTAAGAGTCCATTAAGCCCAAAACTGGCCCAATATTACAACATACGGAAACTTTATATTAGGGTTTCTTTACTGTGTTAATTTTTCCTCTCGCTCTGCCGTCTCCAACTCCATTTTGAAGCGTGAGAGAAAGAGAGAGGCAGAGATCGAAGACATGGAGAAAGGTAAGGGAAGAAAGGAGGAGGTCGTAACCAGGGAGTACACTATCAATCTCCACAGGCGCCTTCATAGCTGGTAAATACCTAAGCTTCAATCTCTCGTTTCCGTTTTTTCGATTTCGTTCTGGGTTTAGTTGATAATGATAAGACTCAAATTGCAACTCTTATTGATTCGAATTAGGTTTTCTTGATTAGTGATATGTTTCGATTAAATAATGATTTTGCTCTTTATTGATTAGACAGTGCTAAATGTTACATTATTATCTACGGATTTCAAAGACACTGAATTTGATTTTGATGAACTCCATAGTGTATACTTTTGAAACATTTGATCCATTTCGAATCAGAATATTTGTAGAAGAAGAATTTAGTGTTCAGATAAGTAAAGCTTGTTGTTTGCTGCTGTTCTCATTGTATATTTCACTAATTAGTAAACAAATGGAGAAATTTTAATAATTGTGTTCCTTTGAATTTGTATAATGGGTTTGCTTGTTTGCTTAGGTACATTTGCTATTAGAGCTCCTCTCGTTTTCATGATTAATCTTGTGTATTTTGAAATGCTGAGTCTTGAATGTGATTTTGATCATTTATAAATGAACAGCACATTCAAGAAGAAGGCACCCAATGCAATCAAAGAGATCAGGAAGTTTGCATTGAAAGCAATGGGAACAAAGGATGTTAGAGTAGATGTTAAACTCAACAAGCAGATATGGAGCAAAGGAATCCGAGGTCCACCAAGGAGAATCAGAATCCGTGTTGCCCGAAAGAGGAACGATGATGAAGATGCCAAGGAAGAGTTCTTCTCTCTCGTCACTGTTGCCGAGATTCCGGCTGAAGGACTATCTGGTTTGGGCACTAAGGTCATCGAGGAAGACGAGTGAAAAAAAAAATGGTGAATGTACTCACAGGACAACCTTATCTTTAGAATGAAAGACAGAAAAGAAAAGACTTTTGCTTGTTTTGATCAGTTACACCATTTTGATAATATTATTTCTTATGTTTTAAGTTGTTTCCAGTGTCAACAGATTTGGTACTGATACAAGTTTGTTTGTGACGCTTAGTAATCTTATTTCTTAGCGGATAGGTTTAAACTACTTGGACTCTTCAAGTTGAATAGTACTGTAACTCAACGGAGACCAAAACTTTTGATTGAAGAAACCAAAACCCAATTCAAAAATAAAAATTATCAGAAATTCAAGTTTATTAAATAAAAAATAAATTGAAGTGAATATACATTTATGACGCAAAAAAAAAAATCGGATTTTAGTCAATTCATTGGGAAATCCAATAAGGCCTAGTAGAAACCCAATAAGACCCGTTAAAGGTTCATAAACGACTTTATTATATAATTGGAAACCCAATAAGGCCTGTTAAAGGTTCATAAATTACTGTGATATAATGGAAAACCCAATAAGGCCCGGTAAAGGCTCATAAACGAGTCTATGATATAATTGGAAAACCAATAAGATCTGTTAAGAAACCCAATAAGGCCCGGTAAAGGCTCATAAACGAGTCTATTATATAATTGACTGATAAATTCCGAAACCCTAAAACGAAAGCTATCGAGAGCACCGTCGTCAGCCGAAGAAGTGAAGCTTGAAGAATCTCTGTAATCTGAAAAATGGGTAAATCTCCTCGTACTTGTTGTTTATCTGTTTTCTTATGCATTGACCTGTTTCTGAGATTCTTCTTGAACAATGTTGCTGATGTTTTATTTTCGTCTTTGAATCGATCGTAAATGAATCGCAGGTAAGGTTCACGGTTCATTGGCTCGTGCCGGTAAGGTGAGAGGTCAGACCCCTAAAGTGGCTAAGCAGGACAAGAAGAAGAAGCCTCGTGGTCGTGCTCACAAAAGGTTGCAACACAACCGCCGTTTCGTCACCGCCGGTAATTAGCTTTTGCTTTCAAATTTTCCTGTTTGTATTAGATCGATTGATCCAGCTTTTGATTTGATCATTCTGCTAATATCTGTGATCTTATGAACTGTGATTAGACATTACTGAATCAGTATTTTCGATTATTTTTCTTCCTGTGAATCAAAATGCACAATCTAAGTCTTCTCGAGTTACCAAGTCTAGTTCTTATTATTTTTCTTAGAAATGGTTTAATCTTACCTTAGATTAGATGCAGGTTATAGTTTTGGATGAAAAAAACATTCTTGTGATCATCTATTCTTTATTATCAATCTCATAATTTGATCATTCTGAAGTGAAAATTATCGTTTTCTCTAATTATGAGATTGCTCTTTTTAGAGTTGATTAGGGTTTATTTGATTGTTCTTGCGTCTCCTTAAGTTCATTTTAAGATTGTAGTATCTGTTAGTAGACCTTACTGATTCAGTATTTGGTTCTGTTGCTTTTTGTGAAATCTTTTTGAGTCGGTTTGACATTATTAATGCATAATCGTAGTATTCCTTGATCATAGTTTAGATTCTAATCATGTTATTGTGATACAAGTCTAGTTTTAGTAGAAATGCTTTTAAATCCAATCTTTCGAGTAGATGTAGTTATTGTTTCTTATAATAAACTTGCTTGTGATCATCGATTCTCTGCTGTCAATTCTGTAGCAACTCATGTTCCAATGAATCTACATTTTGATTACTTTTTTTTGGTTCATTTTAAGATTTCAGAAGTTTGTTTTTCCGAATGAATGATAAGAATTGAATTCTCATTTGATTTTGTTTGTGTTGTTCTTCAGTTGTTGGTTTTGGCAAGAAGAGAGGACCTAACTCATCAGAGAAGTAGAAGAAAAAATGAAGGTTTTACTCTTTCAGAATTTGTGGGATGTTTTTGATTATGAAGTTCATTAGTTAGTGCAAAACTTCCTGATATCAAAGTGGTTAATACTTTGGTTATCTACAAATCAGTGTTGTGATGTCAATGTTTTTTGTCAATTTGATTTGTGTTTCTCGTCGGATTATATGATAAGCTTTTTGGATTATTTGCAGACAGATACTGTTGAATCTGAAGTAATATGCATCTTTTTGTGCTAATTTCCCGGAACTTTTTATAGATGCTCACTTCTTCAGACTTAAACATCCAACTATTCTTGTGTACCAACAATGTGTATACCCTTAAAAATAACACTCTTCTAGATCATTACCCCATTTGATCACTGCATCTTCACTTCTTATAAGTATTTAACTACTCTTTTAACTTATCAACTGCTAACTGAACAACTTGTTTAAGTTCTAAATTCGAGATGAAATATTTAGGGAACTGTAAAGAAGATAATAAGTATGGATATTCCAAGAGAGATAGACTTTAACATTGTCACAGAGAGGACTTGGGAGTATCTCAGAAAAGTCGTTTAAGGTATTTTGAAGTGGAGACTAAAGTTGTGCAGACTTCACATAGAGAACCTTTTAACATAGTTTAATTAGAATGAAAGAGGCGTATAAGACAAGTCATAGGGAGTCAATTCTTTTATGGAATCGACGTTGGTACTTGGTAGTTACTATTATGCACGACATTATTGGATTGAGATCAAACCTAGTTTAGTTAGGAGACCTTTGGATTGCAACTATCCCACAAACTTTTTTATTTGTTTGGCAAACCAAAACTGTTTTGTACCCCAGAGATCATAAACCACAGATCAATTCAATTCAAGAAAAGAAAAGGTAAGAGTATGAAGAAACAAAAACCAAGACCCAATACATATGGAGAGAAACGATCATGAAATGTCATTACAAGAACACACAAATCCCAAATTTGGTAACGAGAGACCAACAATCACAATTGGTTCTAAAGTAACAATTGATTTGTGTTTGAAAGCATTACAATCAATCACAATAAAGAAAAGGGCATTGACACTCTTTAGTTAAGAAGAGATACTGAAATGAAATCTTTTTGAATTTAGAGATCAGACTCCATAAGGTAATCCCCGAGCCTTTCCACAACCAAGTTGCATTGACCTCCAGTCATCGGTTCATCGTAGATGCCAAAGACCAGTGCTTGGTTTGTCTTCTTGATAGTGACGCCTCCAGGTCCCTGTAGATAGATTCACAGTTTGTGAAAAAATGAATTCTGATTCTATTCTCTAAACATGCATTTTCGGATAAAGACTCATAGAAGCAGATTCTGATGTTTGATGTAAAGAAAAGTTACCTTCTTCCCTCGGATCACAGCTCCTGGTTCACCTTGAATAACCATGTACTTTTCGCCACCGAGGAATAGTCCGGTTGGGGCAAGAAACCCGGGCTCGTCAAAGTCCTTCATGATTCCAGTGATTTCTTGAGGCTTCAACTAAAACACATATCCAAGAAAACACAGAAGCCTTCATCAGTCATTGAACAAAGGCAAAAGCAAGTCAACACCTTGTCTTTGCGTAATTGATGCATACTTATACGAAACTTCAAACAGAGATTAACCAAGTTACAATTGTTAAGCAGTGATCCAAAGACCATAGAGCCTACAAGAAGAAGATCTCGCCCATCTTTGGATCGCTAACGCATGCTTAAGAGTTTCACCAAACACATGGAACTTGCTAATGATTAACTAAGAGATACGGAAGCAAAATCTCAGAATCAGACTAATAAAGATCTAAAGCCCTAGGTTTTGACTTCGATTTCGCATACGGATCAATTGGTTCAGAAAATCAAATTCAGATTCAACCACTACGAATATCAGATTCCGGAGATAGACAGCAAATTTCATAAATCAGATCCGAGATTCGTCAGATCCGATCACCGGAAATCTCAAAAACAGACGGCCGAATGGATTAAAACGAAGGATCGTATAAAATTTGAACAGAGAAGGAACCTGAGGGAATTTGGTGCTCTGAGCCCAGACACTGCCGTCTTGACCGAGAATAGCGGCGGAGGTGAGCTGGTTGCCTTCGACATCGCACATAAGGTGATCATCGACGTATGATTGCCACGACATCTTCTTCTTCTTCTTCTTGATTGGATTCTCCGGTGAGTTTGTTTTCTGCTGTGGAAAAGTCTCTCTCGCTTGGTGAGCTTTGTTTGATCGATCGTGTAGAGAGACAGACTATGAAATGTTATGCTTTATAAATTAATTATTTTATTAGTATCAACAGCTTATAAATCAATTAATTAATAACTTTTTTTTTTGGAGTGAAATTAATTAGGGGCTGATATTGATTTATGATTTATATAGAGTTTTAGTGATTTTAAATGTAATGTAAAATATCTATTGTTATTCATTAAAGAATTTAATAAAATTTTAAATTTGGTGTTATTAGTTATTGATTTATAAAAAGTCATTTAAAGTCATCGGGGTTATTGGATTCAGATTTTTATAGTGTCATTAACCCTCTTGTGTTACTCAATTAAAACAAACAAAATTTTTTTGCTTACTGATGAATTAAATTATTAGTTTATTAGTTTAAGATTTTAAATACTTTTCTTTACAAAACAAAGTCATGAAAAATATATCAAAATGGAGAAATTGTTTGAAACTCTCTAACAATCCTTTAAAATGTTTTATTAATGTGGAATCTATGATTTTTCAAAATAGTCTAAAATCTTTATAAATTAGGTATCTATAACACCCCCTTAATAACTATTTTAAACAATAAGAAAGTTATTATTTAACGACGGCCAATGGGAAAGAAAATTCAAATGGGAAATATCTAAGAAAAATTGACTAATAAGCACAATTGATAGTTTTTTTAATTAAAATGATAAATCTACTCATATGGTATGTATATAGTTTGAGATCATTTTATTAACAGAAATAACAACAAAGATATAGATAAATATTAAAAAGCAAACTAAAATCACAAAATGTGTAAAAAAAAAAATCTAACTGCCACACACACAAAAACATATACCATATATCCCATATCCTAGGAAGATGAGAATTTCAATTTTAATCCTTCATTATTATAAGACTATCTCAAGTTTTTGTTTTTATTTCAAAATGAATGTTTCAGCTTCGTTAAAATTAATAAAACACTCATAAATCATAATACATCCTATAAGTATATTTCTTTTACTATATCAGAGCGATCTAATTCATGACACATTAAAATGAAAAAAAAAAACAAACAAATTTTTCTTTCATGCACCAATGCCAAAAAAATATATATATAAGAGTTTAACCAAAACAAATTCAAAAACGAAAAATCGACCAACTCATTACACAGAATGTTTATCAGAGATCATCAGTTTTTTTTTTAATAAAAAATTCCCAATAATAGATAGTATAAAATTTGTAACCCCAAAAGATATATATAAATAAAAAGGTTGAGAAATGCCAGAGATGCTCATCATTTGTTCTCTCCAAATACAGAGTGGATATGCTCTTTGAAGATCCCAAATCATATAATATTATTGCCTTACACCAAATATGTGCATTTACTTGTGACCCATCACTTTCGTATTTTTCTAATTTTTTAGTAAGAAGTTGGGAAATAATGTTGGCGGTGTTCTTGTGATTAGAATAATTATCATGGAATTGAAAATTTTGATCAGTTCGATTACTCTCAATCATGGTTTGGTCATTATAGACATTTTTATTGACAATAATACAAATTTTACGTTTTACATTGTACATATTTTTCAATCTCGTTGATCAGTCTTTTAAAGTGATCTTGTTGTCAATTTGTAATAGTTGTCCCAATGCAGAGCAATGTAAACTTGAACACAAGATCAAGATAGTGGCATATTTCTAAACTCAAGGAAACCAAATCACTCAAATATTATGCGACAATTTAAAATACATATAGAAGTACAGAACGAAGAATCGACATTGTAAAAGATACTTCTGATTTTGTTTCTGTTTCGGTTAGTTGGGTCTACTCTTGTCATGTGTTTGCATTTGTAGTTTGGTCGAAGTGAGCATCGAGAAAAAAACTCCGACAAAAACTAGGAGTTAGAGTCATGTCCTCCCATGCAAGTGGCATCCTTTTTAGCGTGAGGCGGTGTGTTTGGTCGTATAAAAGTTTCTTAAACATCTATACGTGATCGGTCTATTATTATTATTCTATCCAAGAGATCGAATGGGAAGAACGTATCAAACAGAGCAGATCAAACAAAGTATGAAGATCGAACAGAACAAAAGCATATCAAACGAAAGCAATACATATCAAACGGTTCGAATGCTTCTAAATATTTTTAGATAAACTAATATTAAATAAAAATATAATTCACCATATATACTTTTAAATAGATGTGGGTAGACTACTCTACTTATTAGAAAAAAAACATGAAGAAATTCTTTTTTTTTTCTAAAGAAATTCATAAAAACAATTTAAAAACAGTTTATGTGCTAAATAATTTTTTTGTTTGAATGAAAACGTAAAAACAGATATTATACTTCAATTGATTAACTGCTTTTGGAATTTAACTATTTTTGGAATGTTCACCGTTGGGCTACCATGTCTAGTGCCCGATTACATAATTACTATCTATGATGGGTTTGTATATATTAAAGAAATTAGAGATATGTACAACGCAACGAATTAATGTATACGGTAAATTTAATTTTCTTTTTCTGTAAAACAAACATATTAATCACGAAACCATGAAAAGAAAAAAGAAAAAAAAAAGATAGTTTTAAGTCTCGGCTTCTTCACACACTATGTATTATTATCTGCAACCTTAGGGCATCCTCATTGCAAGGATCTTACCCCCTAAGATCCTTGCAATGAGGATGGTCTTAGACTTCCGCTTTCTGTTAAATTTTGCTAAGGTAGAAACCAGAAAGACCCAAAATTAAATTTAACAAAAAACAAAAAACACCAAACCATGCACCCAAAAGGAGAAACGATGCATGGTGAGATGAATTAGAAAAAGAGGTATAATGAAGGCATTGTCCAATTGAGTTTAAAGACCTTGTTCGATCAAGTAATCACCCAACCTCTCGACAACCATGTTGCATTGTCCTGGAGTCACTGGCTCTTCGTACAGACCAAACACTATTGATTGTCCTGTTTTCTTGATCGTGATCCCTCCAGCTCCCTGCCCAATTAGTTCCAATATATAATAATGTCTTTTTGAGTTTTAAAACCAAATTCATCTACTATACTCAAGTTAACAAATATATTTTTGACCATTTCTGCAAGAGATTATTCTATTAATCATATGCAGTGAGAGGAGTTGGTTCTCATACAATCTACGGCCTCAATATTGTCTTAAGCTAGCGTTTGCAATTCTTAACATGTGAATCTTTTTTAAGTTGAAAAATCATTCATCGGGTTAATATGATATTCTAACCCTTGTTTTTTTTCTATCTTTTTTGGGGCAAGGTTGCTTATCCTAGGTTAAGCTTATTGTATAACCTAAATATAAAATAATTAATTTACGTTTTCTTCAATTATATTTGCATAATGCAAACGCAAACAATGGAGCGTTAGTGCTGAAAAAAAGGGTCTCCAAAACATACCTTCTTGCCACGGATGACAGCATTAGGCTCACCTTGGATGACCATATACTTTAGCCCTGCAAGGAACAAACCCGTTGGAGCGAGGTGACCTGGCTCATCAAAATCCTTCATAATGTCTGTCATCTCTTGAGGTTTAAACTGTTGGAAGACAACAATGAATCATCAGATTTTGAACGTTAATGAACCAAATCCGTACTAATGAACTTGTTGCAAATCTTGAGATCACAATGTTGATCGATCTGCTAATCTCTATATCACTAGAAAATATATGCATAACGTAACGGATAGAAATAGTGTAAGTATCTCAATAACCTGAGGAAAATTTGCGCTCTGAGCCCAAACGCTACCGTCATGGCCGATGATAGCGGCGGCGGTAAGGTGGTGACCTTGGCCGTCACCTACATCACACATTAAATGCTCATCAACGTATGCTTGCCACGACATATCTTTCTGATCTCTTCTTGTTCTTCTTTAGTTATTACTTGGCACGATTTGTTTTGTTTTTCTTGATCTCTCTGCGTATGTATGAGCCCTATGCAACTTCGAGGGGAGACTTCGTCGTCTCGATAAATAGGGAGTTAGGAAGAATGTCTTAAGATGAAATTTGAACCGTCCGATTCATAAGACATATTCTCAGCCGCCCATTTTTGTTTTGTTTTTGAATAAGATTTTGATTAGTGCTACTGACGTCTCGCCTTTGTTCTAGCTTAATCATTCACTCTATGCATGCCACGTGTCTTTCATTCTCTCTGCTAATTTGCTCCTATTAATAACGATAAAAAAGTATTTCAAGTAATAAAATAACATGCACGGTCTATTAGGAATTTAGGAAATATGGTCAAAAATGAATTTTCTTTGAAGACGACCAAAGGAACTAAGCAAAGTGTTGGACGACACATAGTGACCGAGATATGAGCAAACGGATCTCTTAGTTTATCGACCAGGAGGTACCCTTTTGGCAACCATATGTAGCATGCACTTGGATTCTAAAATAACCAATGACTAGCTTAGTGTAAACTTCTAGATATAAGCTACTCCTAAATGAGTTTACTAGATATTTAATCAACAATTCGTTAAATAAGTTGATGTGGTACGTACGTATAATGAGGAAAAAAAGATCGGTTAGTATAATAAAGCAATGACGGAGGTTCAAACATTGACATGGTATCGTATGACGATAGAGTCATCGATCACACCTATAAATGAGTTCACGTTGGAGTACTTACCACGCATGAATTTTCTTTGTAGCTCTGCCTCGGCGCTTCTATCGTCGATTCACGCGAAATTTAAAAAGAGCTTTTCTCATATACGTATATCATCATACATATGAATATCTATTAGATTGAGCGTTACCATGGAGTCAGGCTTTTCTCAGTTTTATGGAGAAGTTGTATATGTGTTTTACCATTTTTTTTTTTTTGTGAACCAAATTTAATAATACTTAGAAACAGTTTCAGACTCCATTAGAGGAGACAGCATTACAAGAAAGAAGAGCAGACTTTGCAAGAGCATCTGCCTCCGTGTTCTCTGATCTAGGAATATGATGAAAAGAAATAGACAGAAATGAGGCTTTAGCAAGGTTTATATCAGAGATAATTCCTTCTAACTCATTTACGTGACCTCCGGAGTTGAGAAGAAGCACAAGCTCAAGACAATCCGAGAAGCAGGCCAGTCGTGAAACACCCGACGCTTTTGCTGCATAAATTCCAGCTTTTAAAGCGAGTGTCTCTGCTACTAAAGCAGAGGACACTAAGGGTCTTGATGATGCTCCCTGGAGCCTAAACGAAGTGCGTGGATTTTTAATAATCCATCCCATGCCACTACACAGTGACGATTTTAACCACGAGCCATCGGAATAGCAAAGGAAGGCTTCTCGATGGGTCTCTGTTGCGCAGCTCCTTGGTGGCTTTGATGCTCGAGATGGTTTCTCTCCTTGTGCTAGGTGCCATCTCCGAGCTTCTGTAATTGCTTTCAAGAGTGTCTCTGCCACTGAAATCCCCTTGTCTTCAAAGATGAGCCGATTACGAGCCTTCCACAAAAACCAGAAAATCCATGGATAAAGAGGAGATGTTCCCAGACCCGTAGGTGGTAGCGTGATCATCTTTTGAGCTTTTATCAGGAGGCTCTGTACTGAGGGCGAGCTGTCCACTTCTGGGACCAACAGACACGGCAGTAGCTCCCAAACTTGTCTAGCATACCTGCATTTGAATAGGATATGAAGTGCATCCTCTGTTTCACCACAAAATTTGCAGGCCACATCTGATGATATTCCACGGGAGTTGAGTGCTGTGCCTACAGGAAGAGCATTGCTCGCCGCCTTCCACATGAATATGTCTTCAATTTTGGTGTTTTACCATTTAAATCCTCCATTTCATATCTTCAAGTATTGATGAGCAAGTTCTTAACTAATTTCTTGGTTGTTTGATCTAATATTTCTTTATTAAAGTAATACTTTTATTTCTTTGTTTCATATTCAGTTTTTGATTGTTTCATATATTTTGAGCTAATCTCATCGCATTTCATTTTTTTCAAAGGTTAATTTATTGGGTCTTTGCTATTGGAAAAGCCTTCATATTAGCCTTCACTCAGATTCCATAACCTGAAAATTTTATCCTTACTGGCCCATATTTCCCGTTTGGAGAGTACTACATGACGAGACTGAAAATATCCATTTGTACTTATATGATCTATACATTTGTATGATGAGCCAGTGTAAAGTAAATGATACATGCACATAGAATTGTTAACAAAGCTAGGTTAACGTAAATAATACATTGAGATTTGTTAACTGGGGTTCGCTTACCCTACACCCCGAGATCTAATAAAGAATCAATGCACTAGAATAAGAACACAAAATATATTTACCAATGATATTTAGCACATACTTGTGCCTACCACTCCTATCTACTTGGATTAAGAATTGAGTTGAGAGAAATCTTTGCCATATGCAACCTATAAAATTCTTTATCGAGTTTAGGCAAAAACAGCACTAGTTTTGGACCAACAACATGACCAAAATCCTTTAAAGCTATTTATTGAAAGACCATTTAATTTTGTAATGTACATTAATTAATTTCATCCCAACAATATTTTGCTCATTAGGAATCAACAACTTTTCTTTGTTTTTTAAAGAAAAGATCTCACTACTAACAAAAATAAAAGTTTCAAAATCAGAGATAAAAGAGCTTTCTATCTTGTTCTACTAAATCAGTTGATTAATAATGTGTAACTGATAAAAACCATTTCCTTCTATCAAATTATAACAAAGCACCATTGCATAATAACCAATAGAACTTTCAAAAACAAACAAAAAGCTTTCAACTTTGTGTATTTCATTCATGGTGATGTTGAAGTTACCCTCAGTCCCACGCTAATCCCAGCGCACGTTAACGGCTGCGTCGGAATCCTAAGACAGCTCAACTGGCCGCCCGGAATCGCCGAGCAATCCGGCTGTGGCCGCTGATAACCCTTACCGGGAATACAGTTTCCGGTGAAATCAAACCCGAGGCTAAGACTCGAGCACTGTGAGCTAAACCCAGAGAAGAAGTTGAAAGAAACCGTGAGATTTATCAGATTCCTCAGAGTGCAGACCAAGTCGGGAAGATCACCGGAGAATTTGTTGTGGCCGAGGTTCAAAACCTCAATCTCAGATAAGCAAGAGATCGTGTCGGGGACATGACCCATCAAGGAGTTGAAACTAACGTCGAAGACTTCAATGTCGGAGAATAAACCGACTGATTCCGGTATACAACCGGTTAACTGGTTATTCAAGAACAGAACCTCTTTCAATTTCGAACCGGTGATGCCGAAACTCGTCGGGATTTCGCCGGATAATTTGTTATTAGCGAGATTGATCACCGAAGCTGTGGAGTATCCGAGATTCCGGGGGATTTCTCCGGTGAACTGGTTGTTGTTGAGGAGGATCGCGTCTAACTGTTTGTTGAAGAGATTCTCCGGTATAGAGCCAGTGAAATCGTTGAACCGGAGATCGAGGTATATCAGGTTTGGGATGTAGAGCGCGACTTGAGGGAAAGAACCGGAGAATTTGTTGTTGCTGAGATCGAGTTCTTGAAGGGAATCAAGATTCTTGAAAGAATCTGGGATTTGACCAGAGAATCTGTTGCTGTTGAGGTGGAGAATGGTTAGGTCAGAGAGCAAAGAGAGGTCTTTGACAATGGTGCCTTTGAGATTTGCTTTGTTTAGATCTATGGAGGTAATAATGGAGCCAGAACAGAACACGCCTCTGTAAGTACACACATCTTCACCAACCCATGACTTTAGAACACCTGATGGATCCTCTGTTATGGCAGATTTCCAAGATTGGAGAGCTCTGTAAGCTGCATTTGTTGTCTGTTGCTTGGGAGCTGAGCCAGGATTGGAATTAGGGTTTCCGCCGCCGATCCAAACTCCGTCGTCACCGTCTCCGCCGCCGATTCCTACACCGACTCCAATGCTGTATCCGCTTGTCTGGATCAAACCCAAGAACAGAAGTAAAGAGAGTAACTTAAAGTTGCTGCCTTTCTTCTTCTTCATCATTTCGTCTTCTTGTGTTGCTTGCTTTTGGGGAAACTGAACTATTAAGGTTTGATTAAAGTTGCTGTCTTTGGCTTTCTTGGGGAATGTTGAAAGGTTTTGTTAGAGAGTTCAGAGTAGTGTGTGTGTGTGTGTGTGTGTGAGGTTGTGTTTTTACAGAAAAGTGTGGTTGAAGCATTGATTGAAGATGGATGAGCAAGGAGTGTGGGGGCAATGGGAGGGGGGTTTTGATGGAGTTTTGCTTCTCAGTTACTGTTTTGTTTTCAACTTATGATTTCGTTTTTGTCAAAAAGAGAGACTCTCGTGCGTGCTATATCATTATTGAGTGGGATACTTTGCGTGGATTAGTAGATAGATACTGTATCTTATGATAATGTATGACATGAGATTATTACATATGGTTAGGTGAAGACTTAGTGCGTATTAATATGTAGAATTAATTAACATCATGTTTCCATGTTTTGAGATAAGAAAACTACTTTTCTCTCTATTAAACTAGTTTTAGAAGTTACCACTGTCATAATAAAAACATTACTTTACCTTCCGGGTTGAGAGGATTCATGTTACCTTTTCATAAGTTTTGTCATAAAAAATTTCAAATCCAGGTAATGTTTTTTTTTTCTTAATCAGTATAAAGAACTTTAAAAACTAAAAAGTCTCCTATGAATAAAAAAAAAAAGAGTCTTCTATGAATTATTTGAGAATTATTTCCATGTGCTGTCACTAGATGTCTACTGTCTAGAAGACTAGAACGTTTCACAAATGTTTCTACGCAAAACTCTTTTTTTTTGTTTTTTTACAAGTCATCATCACAAGTTCACAACTATATATGCCGTTAGAAATATGTTAAACATTTTGTTACCGATATAAATAAATAACATCAAAAATGTTTTATAAAAAAAACAAATCAAAGTTAAATAAAAATTTATATTAGAAATGTTTTTCTTAATTTAGTGTAAAGATGGTAAATACCTAATAACAATGATATTCAAGTGTTTGTCCACTGGCTCTCCCATTGTACTATATCATAATATTTGTTTGTCATATCAGTTGATTATTCTGCCATTCCACCCAAGAAAATGAGAATGTGAAGAAATGAAGAAACTATTCTGACCGACGTAAAAATACGAGTTATAAGACTAATTTGATAAGATAAGACAGGACATATTATGAGTTATCCTACATTACATTTACATATGTATCCAAAGGAACAAAAAGAAGAAGTAGAAGAAGAAGAATCTGATAGATAAATTTCCGAATGTGAATGTCGTGAGAATGGGTTGACTTGAGAGAGAAACGATTAATGAAAATGTTAAAAGAATTTGGGAGATTTTTTATATAGCCTTCTTCACATGGAGGGGACACACTCACCAATAGATTTTGGGGATGACTCAAATCCATTTTAATATTTGAAAAAATATGATCAATTACATTAAATAAATTTAATTATTATGCCACCCATTATATTCTGGATTTTAAGAAACTTAAAAACCAGGTGGATTAACTTAATTTCTTGTAGATTTTCTTAGATGTTTTCCAACCTATTCAATGATATACTGTATTTATATTCCTTCCAAAAATACAAATTTCATCCCACAATTTTTTTTAATGAATATAAATTTATTTGTTAAATTCTTTTGTATTACATCAAATGTTCATTTCCGTGTTTAGAAATAATTTACAACTTATAAAACGAGTAAAAAGCTAAAATATGAATAATCCCTCGCATTTTTTTGGGAGTTTTGAAGGAAGCACACATAGCTAATTACGGATGTTTAATCTATAAACTTGCCCAAGTTGTTATTTAAGTCTTCCCACATTATATAAGGCATTCTGTTTTTTTTTTTGTTTTTTTATTCCAACTACTATTCAAAAATCTATTGGGTTATTATACATGCGTACCATATTATTCGATCTACGCAAGTTGGTATTCTATAAGACAACCCCCCAAATAAAAATACTTCCACACAATAATAAAAGATTAATAAATAATACAAAGTAAGTATTTGAAATCTAGCTTAGCTAGTGGACAAAAACAATTGTATGTTTCTTATATCTGGGGCACCCCATGCTGCAGCTAACTAGTGCCTCAAAAAAAAAAAGAAAAAAGAAAGAATGTCCACATATACATATATTAGGATATAAATTAAATACTTAAAAATCTAACAAGACTACAAACTATTTTATGAATCTTATGTTTTTGGATATACAAGCCGCCAGCTCATATCCATAGATAAAACCAAAATAAGTATTTTTGGTGTATAAATTAGATAATAGTATAATACCAATCGAAAAATAGTTGTAGAAATAGATGTGGATATGTCTAATAAATTTGGTCCATGTAGATGTAGTGTTATTAATTATCTGATGTTACATATATATATATATTTGATAAAGAGATTAGGTTATAGGGCACTAAGCCACTAATGATTACACAAATTAGTTAGTGAGATGTTTCATGTGAATGCGAAGAGGTAGATGTGCAGAATCAACAACACAAGTCATTGATTAGATTTTGTTAAATTTGAGTTGGAAGCTTGTATTCCCCCACTAGGCCACTAATTTATTGGTTAATGTTTTCTTCATCACTATTATTTTTTGGGTGAGAAGGAAATGTACCAAATAGAAAGGAGTAATATACATTATGGTTCTTTTCCTCCTTATTTTGACTTTTGAGTAAGATTCATCAGTAGCACATTTTTATTTTTCTTTCAAACTTTATCGCATGCGTCACCATCTATAGCATTCATACGTAACAAAGATAGTTTTTATCTTTAAATTATGTTCTGTTGTATCACTTTAGAAGAGAAGATATTGGTCTTGTATAATGTATATATCAACCAAAAAACTAGTTTGACTTAAGCTCATTGCGCATTATTTTAGGGATAATAATTCTAGTGGGCATATGAATATGATATGATTATAAATTCTCCACAAAAGGACTGAACCGTTAAGAATGACATCCGGCACAACTACACTAACTTTACCATTGACAATTGAAACTTCAAAATCAAATTTAGATAGATTTGGCCTATTACCGACAACATCTACATACGGCTTATGACTCAAACTTCTTTTTGAAAACTAGAAATTGGCGTTGAAAAACCACCAAAATTATTGGCGGCTGACTTGCGACAGACGACTAAACCATAATCACATTTTGAATTGCACAATTGCTAACGTATCCTTTTATTTTGTATGACTTATTTTCTTTTTTATCAATATAGTAATTTTTTAGAAATATTGCAGAAAATAAAATTTATATATTTAACAAAAAAAAAATATGTTCGATTCAAACATCAATTATATCATTGTGCTAATTCATACTTCTTAAAAAAATTATTTCAAATTTATTGTTTAAACATATGAATTTATGAAAAATTATACATATATTGTGTAAAAAATTATGAAATTTTGATGAAGTAGATGATATATATGAAACTTAAAAATGTTCGAAAAACAAGTGTTTTTGCAATTCTAATTAATATTTCAAGTTTTGTATAAACCTTTACACCATAAAAGATGACTTTGTAATACTATAAATAATGTCTATGTAAAACTTAACAGATAAATTTAAGTCGACAGAACTTAAAAAGAAAACAGGTTGTTAACATTATAATGTATCATCCACTAATTTTACATATGTATGTCGTCGCCAAAATCTCTATATTAGTAAAAGAGAAGTACAAAATAGAATGCGGGTCGGGTCAAGAGTAAAAAATTAACCCGATTATAACAACTGGATATTTCAAAATTGGATATTAAAATGGGTTTGGATACATACATCAGATACTTTCCATATTTAATTTTAGGATTATATTATTTCCATAACTAATTTTAGGATTTCCTAATATTTATCTAACTAATTTAATATAATATATTAAAAACAATTATTATTCTTCTTCTTTTATGTGATCTTTTTTTTTAATTTCTGATATTATACTAAATAATAAAAATGTTTCAAAAAATTTTAATTTTTTTTTGCATATGCTGCAATTTAAATTTTTCAAAACGGACATATAATACTCAATTACACTCGGTTAAATATTTTGGACAATGATTTAAAATCATTATAAGTATGACCAATATTAAAATCATTGTTACATAAGCATATTTAAAATATTTTTTTTGAGACATAGATGTAAATTTGGAGACATGATTTTTATTGATAAGATATTATATATCAAACTACGTAAATTTTAGATAGTCCACGGGTAGTTTGTTAAAATCACAATTATAATGGTAAAGCGAGTTATGAATAATGTTTATTACGATATGAATTCTGTTACGGGTTGGTTCTTCAAAAAGTATATTATAAGTGTGTAATTTTTACGTCTATTCCTAATTCTTTTACAAAAATGGTCAAATTGAACAGTTTATCGATAAATATTCTTTCGTGTTGTTAAATTTTCACCTTTTTTTTAATTGTATCAAAACTCAATATATTATTATTTATTCCCTTTTTCTTTTATTATTTTATTTAAACTTATATACAAATAGATGATTCACTGTAATCGAATGCACTATAATAAAATTAAAATGTAATATAATTTAATCCGTTAAATTTCTTTTTGGGTAAAAAGTTAAATAAATTATTTTAAAAAATCCGTTAAACATTATATATAAGTAATTGTTTCCCCCGCGCTGTAGCGCGGGTCGAAACCTAGTTTATTAGTCTTTTTTATCATTGTAGAATTGAGTTGTGAAAGACTCAAAACCTAAATGACTTCACGAGTCAAAAATACATTACACATCAATAACGTGGGCTTTCCGATATATCAAGATAAATGGGCTTATTGGGCCGTGATATTCAATTTTAATTCTCATATATAAATTTACCTGAAAATAAAATTGAACAGAGTAGCGATGACGTGTCAATCTCCAACATAAAGAAGAAGAAGTAAAAACCCAAAGATCTGAGAGTTCTGAGAAGCCAAAAGAAAAAGAAAAATCACAATTTGAAGAGCTTCGAAGCTTGAAGATGGGAATAAGGTTCATATTGATGGTGAACAAGCAAGGCCAGACTCGTCTGGCTCAGTACTACGAATGGCTTACTCTCGAGGAGCGTCGAGCTCTCGAAGGCGAGATCGTCCGTAAATGTCTCGCTCGCAACGACCAACAGGTTCCTCTCGTCTTCTCTTCTAATTCCATTTAGATCGCCTCTGATTCCGCTACGATCTCGTCTCCTTAGGTCTGTTTTGATCGTCTTGAGTCGCAATTAGTTTGGAATTGGTCTTTGATTACTACGAATTTTGAATTCTTAGATGATCTGGATATGGATCGATTCGGCATTAGTTTTATAGCTTCTTGATAGAATTTGAGTTTCTGTTTGTTAACTGATTTGTGAATCGAAGTAATATAGAGCAGATTTTGGGAATTTTGTAGTGGTGATGCCATAGATCACTGACCATTGGCTTATCGCTTTATCGGAATCAAACTAAATTAGTATCATTGATCCTAGTTACATACTTACATTGAGGTCTCTGTTTATGTTTTTGGTTACTTGTTAAGGTTGGTGCAAGCTGATTAGCTTCGAAATATGTTGGAGTTTGTATTCTTTAGATAACCGTTTCTTCGTATATTTCTGTTCTGCTTACGGAATGGAACTAAGTTTTGCTGCATTTGTTCTTCTTCGTTAACAGTGTTCATTTGTCGAACATCGCAACTACAAGATAGTCTACAGACGATACGCATCTCTCTTCTTCATGGTTGGGGTTGATGACGACGAAGTAAGCTCGTTATGTATACCTCCTTATATTCTTATGAGCTGCAATCCAGTTATGAATTCAAATGAAATAGGTTGAAGTATAGTATGGTGAAACACTATAGGAGAGTGTTTATAGATATCTACTATGTATATTTCCAATCTTTGTCATCTGTAGAGCTCTTTCTTCAGTCTCTAAATTGTTTGCTTGTTGAAATTAAATCACGCTTTTTTCATCGGAACTTGTCCTAGAACGAGCTGGCGATTCTAGAGTTTATACATCTTTTGGTCGAGACGATGGACAAGCATTTTGGAAATGTGGTAAGCAGTCAGAGTTTCATAGTAGTCTCGGATCAAATAGACTGTCTTGTTTTTGTGTTCTCCCTTTGTGTTGTATAACTTCTTTCATTTTATGCAGTGTGAGCTTGACATAATGTTCCATCTAGAGAAAGCTCATTTCATGCTGGAGGAAATGGTGATGAATGGTTGCATTGTGGAGACAAGCAAAGCCAACATACTTTCACCTATACAACTTATGGACAAAGCCCATTAATTTCTAAACACCTTGTTTCCATTTCTGTTTTCACCACTCTGTTACACAACTTCTTCTTCTTGTATTATTTGTATTAAAGATGCTTCAAAAAAAAAAGATAATCTAATTTTGTTTTAAGTAATTTCTCAAAAGTAGAAATCTCAAGAACCGCATGATTATAAAGATTGTTGTAAGCTTGTCTATCTATTGCACATCCGCACGAAGGTTTATTTGTGGACATCTTAAAAAGAATGGTTGGCACTTGGCTGAAAGTGTTTTTTTCTTTGGTTCCTTGAGATATCCTCTGTGTCAACTTGGTTAGATAGGTTGAACCAATTGCTTAAAGAGTCATTGTCAAATTGCACATACTCAAAACGCAAGTCGTCCAAGCATTCTCCTACACTAGTGTCATAGCTTATACTGTACTATCAGAATCCAAATTGGACCAGTCTTGGCACCATTACCATCTTACCAACCAACCAACTCCACACATTGTTTAATATGCATTGCAAGAAGCATCAACATTGCATTGTTTAATATAATATATATATATATATATATACATATAACTTTGTAAAACTGAGAAAGAAATCATTTTTTTTTTTTGTATATTAAAATGCTTATTCCATACAACATAATATCAAATTGCTGAGGGAAAAAAAATTACAAAATGAACACCCTAGGGATAATAACCTTGTTTTCATTATCTTCCGTTGTATACCAATAGAAACTCATGAACACTTCCATCTCGTTCTCCAATTAATGGGACTCTCATCGTTTATATATCTCACCATCTTAGTTTTGCCGGAAAATACTGCAATGTCAAAAAAATATTTTAAAAAACATTTACCATAGGCATGAGGAATAGTTAAAAATTGAATATATCTTTACAAGTTTTTGGTTATTTTAAAATAAAATAAAAATTGTTTAAACGTATTTTTGAGTATACATTACCTTGTTGATGAGGGAAATATAGTAAGGCTTCACTTGTTCGACATCTACATGAACTTTGCTCTTACTGTATAGGTCATATTTACTGCAAATTCCAATTTTATTCCTCAGAAAATAACAAATTTGAAAATGAAATGATATGAAAAAAATAAAAATAATAATCATTCATACTTGAAGACATGGAGCCACTTGAGATCATCTCTGTCTTCATCGTTCATCAACTGGGTGTAAGCTGCGGCCGTGTGCAATGCTGCATGATTATATATTTTATTTCCATGTTAATAACGAAACAAATACAAAAAGAATCTTATAATATGTAATATTAATATGATTGAAAAAAAACGTACGATAAAAGGAATGATATCGAATAATGAAGAGAGCAGCGTGGGGAAGAGTCGTGCCATTCTCCTTAGCCACCTTCAAATCATGAAAACAAATTATACTATAAGCTTTGGTTATCGTTTTTTTACAAAAATTTGATGAAATTATAAAACCCAAAGAAGATAAAAATAAAGTAAAAATAAAATTACCAAATACATGTAGTCGTCATGACCCCATGACATGAGAACATTGTCCAATCCACATCCTTCACTGTAAACTCCATTTTTTGTGTTGTATTTTGGGTTATTGTTATCACTATTTCCTTTGAAATACTGCAAATAACACATTATTTTGAAAACGTTAACTATCGAAAAAATTCTTGGGGTAAAAAAAACGAATTCTACCACGATAGTAGAACTAGTAATTTTTTTTACCTTGTGGTGAATATTGGCCGAGTCAAAGGTGCATCCAACTGGAAATGTATCGCCTGTAAAATTGGAATGTTAAAAATTGTTTTTGTTATGATTTTGTAGAATTAGATATAAAAAAAAAAAAATTCTAATTCTAGACAAAGAATAGGTTAATTGACTACACGCACCAACGACAGCCCACTGGGGAAGACCACCAAATTCTGGCAGAAGAAGAACCTTTCCAAGATCTGGAAAATAGTATAAAAACTTTAACTTTAAAAATCCAATATATTGACCATGGAAAAAGAAACATTATCTTGTACTCGTATAATCTAACTCACAGTACTAAAATCATTCAGTAGCTTTAGATGTATGCACTAATAAGATACTAAACATTCTCAATAGTATTATAAGTTATAACACAATGTTGAGTTAAGTTTAACAATATAGTACAAGACATATACCATGGATTAAGGCAGTGAGATGGAGCCAATCTTCGTCGGGGTAATCCCTGCGAATGGCTTCAGCGGTTTGGAGAAGGTGTTGGATTTGAGGCTCATCAAGATCCGGATCGCTTTCATCGACAACATTGTTCAATAGCTCACAACATTCCCATATACTCATTTCCATCTTGTCAAGTTTCCCATACTCTTTTCTCATCTCCTTCACCTATCCACATTTTTGTTTCAAGTTCAATTTTCAGTCAAACCTTAAAATAGGGGTTTATTTGGTTATTATCAAGTAAGGTTTTGTTTGGCTTACAAAGTCATAGGTCTGGTGAATGTGTTGCATCCTGTAGAATTCTTCAACACCTTGTTGTCTCTCGCTTTCACCATTCTCATAATCCCTATATAATAATAATAAACAAAAGAGATTGTAACAAATCTACAAAATAATCAAATTCGGTTTAATCAATTTACTAATTAGGAGTAATGATGAGAAAAATAAACAAAACCTGAAAGAATGGCCAAGGAAGTTCATATCAGGAGCATCGAATCCATCAGTTTCCTTAGATTGTGGAACCACCGATTCATCATCATCCCTCCTCTCCTCTGCCACTTTCTTCTCCACGGCCACTCTCGATTCTATACAAATCGTCACCGCAACAAATTAACTCATAACTTCTCATAAATATTATTTTGTAACGAAAGTGATCATGCACTCATATCAAACCTAATCTGCAATATTTGATTATTACATTTGTCTATAATTCTCAAAGAGAAATCGAATATTTAATAAAAGAAGCAATGAAACGTTACCAGGGACAAAATGTTCAACAAGGACAGGCATGTTGCTCTGATTTTTTTGATGAAATTGTGAAATGTTGTGTGAAAGATATGGTTGGTGAAGGAATGGAGAAAGGTATTTATATTGGGGATCGAAATGAGAAAAAGGTCCTTACCTGCATATTTGGAGACAGTGTAAGTCCTTAGATCTCAAATTTAACTTGTGTTCTGTCCTCAAACTGAAATTAATGTACAAAGATGTTCACACTTCTCCGTATCTTTGTGTTACCAAACCAAACTCAACGTTCTTGTTTTTACGAGCGTGTGCTTCACGTTAGTTTTTAATCCACGTCTGTGTTCTACACGCTCTGTAATGTTAGTCTTCTCTTAAGCTATCTTGACGTGAAATTTTATTTGATTTTACTATTTTTTCGTTTATTTCTTAAAAAAATATTAGTGATGTTCAAAAAAAAAAGAGAGGAAAATAATTAGTTTAACTGTTTCTGATTCATCAAAAAAAAAAAAAAAATCTTAGTGAGTTGGATTTTAATTATCTAAATTGTAGATGAATATGCATATGATTTATAGAATGGTCAAATCTATGTTGGTAGCAACTACTAAAAATAAATAACAGCACAAGATTTGAGAATTTGAGATAATCTAAAAAAATGAGAAAATGTTGAAAAGAAGAAATGAGAAAGTTAGGAAAATAACAAAAAAAAAATCTAAAACAAAATCTAAGTTGAGTCCTGAAGTGAGAAATAAAGAAATAAAATGTCCTTAGAAGCAAAACAAAAAATATACACAGCTGTGTTCTTCTGTTTTTATTTTGGTGATAGTTTCGATTTTAAGAAATAAAGAAAACCAAACAAGTCAGCCTGACGTGTATTGTATACTAGTATAGTATTATCTCAATTTAGCTGTGGTATTGAGTATTGACTAATCTTCTGAGTCAGCATCTACTCACATTTTTTTTTTTTTTTGGTTTTTTATAGCTAAACAAATGTTTTTTTTTCCAAAATTTTATGTGGTATTTATAACATTTTATGTTAATAAAGAGACATAATTCATACTAATTCAAGTATATAAATTTTCAAAAGATATATGTTGACTGTTAACATTTTTCCTATGTTATATATAAATTATAATTATTAAATTTTCTATTTTAGTGGTATTAACGAAAATTCTTCTGTATACATATAACTATACTTTTAGGTAACACATGAACTAATACATTTTTCTTTGTAGTAAGGAAAAATTTGAAAAAACGGATTTTATTCCAAAATAAAATATTTGGATTTGGTGAATTGTTAAGTTAAGTACATAAGAAAATGTGGCGGGTACACTCCACCGTCCATAGCAAATTGTCTTCACGTGTAACGTCGTGATATTTCAACCATTCGTATCGTATATGGTTCATTTGGTTTTAAGATTTTTTTTTCTGATAACCAAAAATGATATGAGGCTGATACGAATAACAGGGCTACAGGACCAACATAGATTCCAAAATAAAAACATTGTGATGTACGACTTGACGTACAAAAAAATATAGAAATAAAAGTAGCTTGACCTTTTAAAATTCAACGAGCTAACTCGTGACTTCTTCAAACGCAGAGAGGACAAAAACAGCGCACTGCTTACGACGTCGACCAACCAAGTTCCAGCTGAGACCTGCGTTAGCGCCGTATATATATGAACGTAGTTTAAGATTACGTCAATATACATAAAATAGTTTTATTAGATGTAACTTTTATATAGTGGTGATATGATACCTCTCTATAATTTAATTGGCGTGTATGCATGATAGAGAATTGAATGGTAATTAGAGTAAAAGACTTATGAACTAAGAATAATAATGATTAAACAATCGTCATCATAGTTGTGTTATAAACTAATGTCGCTTAAGCTTATACTAATGATCACTTAGACGACGAGCATGCAGCGAAGAGCGAACCATGCATCATCACACAACAAGTTTGGTCCATTTATTTATCAAGAAAAGTTAATAATTAACACTAAGATCGATCCACGTCATTTTCATATCTTTGCCATCAACCACGACGTGTACTATATGATTGCATCTACCTAATTATATATAATTTACACAATCCGGACAAAACAAAAAAAAATATCTCAGAAAAATGAATGTGAACCTCATGAACTGATTGATGAATAGACAGTACAAACTGCATTCACGTTTTTTTTTTTTTTTTTAAATGTCTTTTTTTTCTTCTTTTGTCGGTGAAGTTTACTTATCATTCAGAAAAAAAAAACCAAATTATCTTCTCTTTTGGTAACACAATTTTAATCATTTGATGTAAAAACTGTTTATTAGTATAGTAGTATCTCCTTATTTAATTCTCAAAAATATGTATCTTATGTCTATGTTCCAAGTTCCAAGATATAATGTACAAATCTTCCTTGACTGGTTTAGGAGATGTTAAAATCAAGAAAAAAGGGCAAAATAATAATAATTATATGTATGGATCTATAAGAAATACTTTTTAAAACCTTAATATAACACAAACAATGAAAGGAGAAGACAGTTTTCACTAAAACCAACAAAAATGGAATTGTGTAGCTTTCACATAGAATGTTTTCTCTTGAGTCAGTTAAGTGGATGGAAGCAAAGAATATGATCTGGGCTACCTACGTTTAGAGTAGTCACAATATGGGCCGAAACAAGGAATGAAGCCCATTTATTTATTCATCAGATCCTAGTGGAATCAAGAAAACATCTCAGTTATTTACTTTACTAAACAATAAAGTAGCATCAAGCGGGGATAGCTCAGTTGGGAGAGCGTCAGACTGAAGATCTGAAGGTCGCGTGTTCGATCCACGCTCACCGCATTTTTGCAATTTTATAATAAGAATTGAAGTTTAATAACGTTGATAGAATATTACGGGCCTTACCGATCTCGGCCCAAGTTCATGGAAAGTTTAATAACGTTGATAGAATATTACGGGCCTTACGAATCTCGGCCCAATTTCATTGAAGTTCCAAATGAGATATGTTTTGAAAGAAATTAGTTGTTTTTATTTTGCAAACAACTACTACAGTCTAACTAATTCGCAAAAACATATTTCTAAAACAAAATGAAAACAAGTATCTTTATCAGCATATCGCTCTCACAATTATGTTACAAAGAAAACATCAGCCTTGAGTATATATAAACTATATACTAAAAACATTACATAATACTACACAGAGAATGAATAGTGACTTTGAAAAGAACGTTTCATACGAATGAGACATCCAACGGCTGCCATGGCCTCTCTCCATTTACCCCAATTATTACTATTATTTTGCTGTCTATTCATTGTAATAGACAACCACGTTATCAATCTAGTCGAGTGACTCGAGTCCAAAAGCTATATAATTTTGCACGAAACAAAACACAAAATGTAATTTTTATTTATTTATTCTATTATTCTTTACATTATTGATGATAGAAGTCGTCAAACACCCTAAAGTCTTACATACGATCTTCGCAAAATCCCAAGGAATGGTGACATGAGGTTGATTTTTTATATTGAAAATAATATAAGAAAGAACCATTTTGAGGCCAATGTAAATTACCAAAGACTCTAATCAAAGAGTAACTCTTTTGTCTTCACCACAATTATGATGCCTTTGTCTTATTTATATTCCATTGGTTAGAATATATAATCATATAAACATTTTTAAAGTTTTAATATATACTTCACGTATACTTTAAGGTTATGCTAACGTGTATTTGATTTAAACGATATCAGAAACTTTTAATAGAAAAAATAGCGAAATAATACTGCTATGTGTCTCGTCTACTTTGGAGAAAACAAAACAAATTATAGGAGGTATTTTTTAAACAAATTGTCAAATTAAATATAAGTGGTGATTCGAAAGAATTACATGATATATTAAAAACATATTATTTGTTAAAAAAAAAAAAGAATTCAAAGCTTGGATGTTATATTCTTTGATTGCTATAAATATGCATGTCTAGAATTTACATTCCAAAAAACTTCCACACTAAAACTTATCATCAATTTTTTTGTTTATAATGTGTTGGTATATTATTGATTAATATATATCTGTTACAAATACTAATATTTTAATTTCGTTAAATTATATATTTATTCACCAACTAAATTCAGCTAGCCTTTCAATAGTCAACCAGTAAATTAAGGACGTGTAAAAAGATTTAATATTTTTAGTTAGTAAAGCAAAAAATAATATTGTATATATAAGCCCGTACCCGACTCCGAGTAAATCGGGTGAGAACCCGTGAAACCGAAAAAACGTACAAAAAAAAATCTAAAGAAGTAAAAGAAGAGGTCTCGTCGTTTGAACTAAACCAAGACCACACTTAAAGTTCGGTGGTTGTGCCACATGTATGAATCATAAATTCTTTCACTTTTACAAAACCAGACAATAACACGTCATCAGTCAAACACCCAAAAGCATCGTACCACGTGTACTTTTCGTACAACTTATTATTTTTATTTATTCGGTTCAAATTTCTTTTAAAAAGATCTTTTATTATCAGTAATATTTTGTCGGGATTTTATGTTAGCCAAAAGAAAAGGACACGTGGTATGAGGTTAAGACACGTGGCATGAATGAGTAAGACCAGTGTCACGTGACTTTGTGACAGATCACGTGGTTAGGTTGCTCTCCTTTGGACATGTTCGTTTCATTTCATCTCTTTTATTGAAAAAACTTTTCTCATTTTTGTACACAACATTTTTTTTTTTTGTGACACAATCTAACAGGTATTCATTTTAGGGTTTTCATAGATTTTTTTTTAAAAATATTCCATTATATTTTTTTTTCCTATTACTGTATTACATATATTAGCTTTACTTGGAGAATTGGAAAACTAGTTTGATTTTTACAATAGATATTCTTCATATATGAGTACTAGTCCAGAACACAAGAATTTACTTTCATATGATAATTTTACAATTGTTCTTTGAAAATTAATATGTTCTTTTACAGTAATCTTATGATTTGCTATCTTTAGCTGCATATATACTCGATCATAATATACAAATATTCACGGCTTTCATGGTGTAAAAGTACAAAATTACAATGACTTTTATGTAGAATGGAAAATATAAAATTCTAAAATATATATATATATATATAATTCTAAGGAAAAAAAAAGGGAGATATTATATATGGGGATCACGTAGTAGTCATGATGGTGAGAGTATGTAATAGTAATATTTGATAAAATGGAGGAATCGTACAAGGTATTCAATGTTTTCATTTAATGGTCGGGTCATGCATGGGGCATGATGATCCTTCATGCTCACTGTTCCCTTTGGAGGTGGCATCCTTATCATGTGTCATCTCTATACGTGTGTGTATGTACCTAAGCAAGCGTACATTTATACATCCGTTATCCGTATATACATGAACCTATTCGTATGTTTGTTGGCAACAAGTCTCAATTGGAGAGCTACTTAATCTATTGGTACCAAAAAGGCAAAAACAATAGTTTAGTTTAAATATCTGATAAATTTTTAATTTTAAATATGAATATGCTAATATAGGTTAGTTATAGATTTCATTTTTATTTTTGAATAAAATAATATATTTTAAAATTAAGGTGGTAGTATTACACAAAAGAAAATGTGATAGAATTTTGTCTAAAAAAATATGAATGTGATAGAATTTTATGGAATGCAATACGGGAAAAATGCCATAAAAATCCTGTAAAGTACGATTTCGTCGTTTTAAATCCCAAACTTTCCAACTGTTGATTTAAATCACGAACTTTTTATTGACTCAATCTTTAATATGCAAATATTGTTGACTTTGCCAATCTAGGCATCACGTTAAATGGCCAAACGGATCGATTAAACGGGGTTAAATATCATTAACGAAATCCGTTAAATACAAAGTGACACCGTTTTTAACATAGCCCATAACACTTAGTCGATTTCAATTTTTGCCCAAAATCCCCAAATCACAAACCCTAGATCTAATCGAAACTTTCTCTTCTTCTTCTTCTTCTTCTTCTTCGTCTTCTTCTTCTTCGTCTTCTTCTTTGTTAATCTCTGTTGTTCAGGGCAAGTGATGCCTCAGAGAAAGAGGAAGAAGCTTTCTACACATCGCACCAAACAGAAGAAAGTTGATGATAGTGTTGGTGAATCATCTGCTCATGAGTCGAATGTTCAGTCGAATGTTCAAGAGCCGACTCCTCTTGATTCGATTGCTCCTGAATTGAATGTTGAATCGCCTGCTGGTGAAGAAGGTACTAGCTCTGCAATTATGAATTATCGTGGGTCGCCTGTTCCATTAGAAGAGCGGGATGGTTTTAGTGGAGATGATTGCGAAGTGGACGGAGACGAAGATTGTGATGGTATTGGGTACGAAGCTGCTACAGAGGAGGAAGAACGAAACCGTCAAGATGGAAACCATGGAGATGGAAACCACGAAGTTTTTGAAGAGGAAGATGGAAATCGTTTTGGTGTCGATGAACAGTTTTGTGAAGACTTCGAAGCAGAGTTTGGTGAGGATGCGAGAGATGAAAAAGATGAGACTGATAACGACAGTGGAGATGATATCTTCGATGACGAGAAGATCCCAGAACATTTTTCAGAAAGTGAAGACGAAGATGGTGGAGGAGAAGGCGATGAGCATGTACAACCTGAAGATCCTGAAGTGTTGCTCGAGTTGGGGAAAACATTTAGCTCGCCAGATGAGTTCAAGATTGCTGTGTTGAGGTACTCTCTGAAGACTAGATACGACATTAAGTTGTATCGATCACAGTCATTGAAGATTGGTGCAAAATGTGCTAACACTGATCCAAAGGTTAAGTGTTTATGGAGATGCTACTGCTCTTACAATAAGAAGAAACACAAGATGCAAATCAAAGTATACGAGAGTAAGCATGCTTGTGTGAGATCAGGTTACAGTCACATGTTAAAGCGAGGGACAATAGCTTGGTTGTTTGCAGACAGGTTGAGAAAGAATCCAAAGATCACACACAAGGAGATGGCTGCAGAGATTAAGAGAGAATACAATCTGGAAGTTAGTGAAGAACAGTGTTCTAAGGCAAAGACAAGAGTGAGGCGAGAAGCATGTGCTGGTCATCAAGAGCATTTCTCACGGATATGGGATTATCAAGCAGAGATCTTTAGATCAAATCCAGGATCAGTTTTTGAGATTGAAACCATTCCAGGTCCTACAGTTGGAAGCTTACAAAGGTTCTATCGATTATTTATGTGTTTTAAATCACAAAGAGATTCTTGGAAAAATACATGTAGACCAATCAAAGGAGTAGATGGTGCATTTCTGAAATGGGACATCAAAGGACATCTCTTGGCTGCTGTTGGAAGAGATGGAGACAATAGGATAGTTCCACTTGCTTGGGCAGTTGTTGAGATAGAGAATGATGACAATTGGGATTGGTTTATGAGGTTACTCTCTACTTCATTGGGGCTTGAGGATGGAAGACAAATGGCTATCCTATCTGACAAACAATCGGTTAGTATGGAAGATATTCCTTTTGCAATTATATCTTGTTTATGAGGTTAACTTAAATGTTTTTGGTTTATTTGCATGGTCTTGTTAAAGCGATAAAGAATGTTCTCCCACAAGCTGAACATCGTCTCTGTGCTAAACATATTATGGAGAATTGGAAGAGGGATAGCCATGATATGCAACTACAACGTATGTTCTGGAAGATTGCATGCAGCTACACCACAGGACAGTATGCTAAACATATGGAAGCATTACAGGCGTATAATCCAGGTGCATTTAATTCTCTTCTACGCACAAATCCGATGACATGGTCTAGAGCATTCTTCAAGGTTGTTACATGTTGCAATGATAATTTGAACAACCTCAGTGAGTCTTTTAATAGAACCATACGCCAAGCTAGGAGGAAACCATTACTAGAAATGCTTGAGGATATTAGGAGGCAATGTATGGTGCGAAATGAGAAGAGGCATATCATTGCAGGAAGATTACAAACAAGATTCACAAAGAGAGCTCATTTGGAGATTGAAAATATGATATCAGGTTCTCAGTTTTGTATTAGAAGCATGGCCAGGAATAACAAACATGAGGTAGAATTGGGTGATGATTCTTATTGTGTGGATATGAATGCGCTTACATGTGGATGCATTAAGTGGCAGATGACTGGTATTCCTTGTGTACATGCTGCTTCTGTGATTATAGCTAAGAAACAGAGAGTTGAAGATTATGTTCTTGACTGGTACACAACAAGAAGGTGGAGGGAAACCTATAAGGATGGTATCACACCTGTCCAGGGTCAGATGGAATGGCCTAGAATGAACAGACTAGGAGTTTTGCCACCACCATGGAGAAAAGGCAATCCGGGTAGACCAAGTAACCATGCTAGGAGGAAGGGAGTGAATGAAACTGCCTCTTCAACAAGATTGGGAACTAGTAACAGAGTCATGACATGCAGCAACTGTAAACAAGAAGGACACAATAGGTCAACTTGTTCAAACCCAACTGTTGAAGCTCCACCTGCAAGACCTAGAGGTCGACCAAGGAAGAACCATGTTTCTCTCTTTCATGTTTTAACTGAGTATAAGGTTTAATACTATGTGACTAATATATGTTTATCAAACAGGAACCAAGGAATGTATTGTTTGGTCAAGGACAAACATGGGAAGGATTTCAGCCAGCCTCACAAGCCTCACAAGGTTCACATGCTGTTCCACAACCACCTACACAAGGTTCACATGGTGTTCCACAAGCTCCTTCACATGCTATTCCACAAGCTCCTTCACATGCTGTTCCACAAGCTGCTTCACAACCACCAAGGAGGAGACAACCATCAAGGAGGAGACAGCCAACACAGAGGAGGGCATCAACATCAACACCATGGGAACCACCTAGACAAGCTCCACAAAGTGAGGAAGGCCTAGGCGGCTGGAGAGCATGGTTTGAATGTTCAAGATAGTTAAATGTTGCTGCCTTTGGTTTGTTTCAGAACATGTTTCTTTTGTTTTGTCAAAACTCAGCTTGGTTTCTTTTGTTTTTGTCTAAACTCATCTATGTTCTGTTTTGTACTAAACTCATCTATGTTATGTTTTGTACTAAACTCATCACATGTTCTCTTTTGTGCTAAACATGGATTTCTACTTTATTTATGCTGTCTAAAACATACAAAGCAGGAATTTAAACAAAACAATAACATAACATAACCAAACATGCATACAAACCATTACCAAAAATACAAAATGACATACTCTTTCCTTCATAACCACACACACACACACACACACACACACACACACACACACACACACACACACACACACACACACACACACACACACTAATACCCGAGAACAAACTTCGATTGCTTTGCTTTCTCAACCATTAGGTAAACAATGCCAATCGAGACAACACAAAGCCACACAACATACACTTTCATCCACTTTTTAGACTTGCGGATTTCGTTAAGGTTCCACAGAGCTTCATCTTTCAATTCTTGTAAAGCACCATTCAACGCAATGACTTCAGATTTGGTTTTCACAATCTCATTTGCCATAGCTCCTACTTTTGGTAATGCATCTTGAACTTCCTCATACACAGCATCCTCGACCCACTTAAACATATGACCCTGTTGCAAAAAAAAAAAACACCATTGAACATATGCATTATATAAGCTACAAGAAGCTACATTGAACAAACCAGACAAATCGGTGACTGCTTACATCTCTCTTGTTTGTCCACGACTTTGCATCTCTTTTGGTTAAACAACGAAAGAAGGGTCGACCAGGATTCTCTTGAGTTCTCGATGTGAAGATTGTTACACCAGCTCCACATACACACTTCGACGGCACTCCACGGTCGAACGAATCTACCATTGATGTCTCTGAGCTAGAACTCATCTTGATCGAACAGAAATCGAGAGCAATTGAGAGAGGATTATAGGTTCAATTTCTATTTGGGGATTTAAGGTTCTGGGTTTCGATTTACAGAGAATTAACGAAGAAGAATAAGAAGAAGAAGAAAAAGAAGAGAGAATCGATTTTGGGCAAAACGGTGTCACTTTGTATTTAACGGATTTCGTTAATGATATTTAACCCCGTTTAATCGATCCGTTTGGCCATTTAACGTGATGCCTAGATTGGCAAAGTCAACAATAGTTGCATATTAAAGATTGAGTCAATAGAAAGTTCGTGATTTAAATCAACAGTTGGAAAGTTTGGGATTTAAAACGACGAAATCGTACTCTACAGGATTTTTATGGCATTTTTCCCAATGCAATACCGTTATCAAATTGACATTTTATACATTCTCTAAAATCTATGTGTTATTGGATTAAGTATTTATATCATTCTTTCTAAATTTTAGTGTTATTCAACTTATAAGTTTACTAATTGTGTTAGATGCAAGTGTTATTCATTGTTACAAAAGTTAAAAAATTCCAAGCCGCATATCTAAAGAAAGTGGTTAAAACAAGAGATCAAATTAAATGTGATCATAACAAGCTGTTGAATAGTAAAAAAAAATTTTTATTAAAAACACTGAAATATAAAAGTATATTTAAAACTGAAGTTTTCTTCTAAAATGTTTTTAATAAATAGAAAAAAAAATATCTTTTTTTAAAAAACTAGAAACTACTTTAAAAAATTTAACCGTTCGCTTGTAAAATATAAAAGTTTTTCTTAACAAAATCTTATCTTAAAGGCCTTATAATAATAATGTCCTTAACTCACTAAAGGGATCGATTGACACCCCATCTAAACTTATAAACCCCACATTCAACTATCTATTTCAACCATTGGTTTCATCCATCCACTTCTAATTATGACATCCAATCAAATTAAAGACACCAGCAATTAATGATATACATGTTAGGGTTCAAAGCAATTCTTTCTTTGTTTTTGAACTCCAACAAAACATTTTTTCCTTTTTTTTTGGTGGGAACAAAACATTTTTTCCTAATATGCTTAAAATTTTTCCTAATAGACTAAAACTTACCAATTCGATCACATAATCGATCTAATTAACTTTTTTTTTCTCGTATTTTACTATGTTTAGTTTCTGGTTCAGTCTTTTATAAACATCTTCCACGGTTTATTTTACAAACACAAATTCATTTTAAGCATTTTTTTGCAAAGCTGCTGTTTTGTTTTCTGTCTTTCTTTATCATGTTAGCTGGAAATTATAGACATACAATGTGGAAGTAACCACTAACCAAATGATTCAATACCAAAAAAAGAGATATTTTGGAAAAAGTAAAAGTAAAACTTGTGGCTGAGATGAAAGCATGGCAGGTTTTGAGGTCCACCTTCTCTATCCCTCTTGTGTGTGTTTGAAAGTAACATTCCACACTTACTTATCTTTTGAGTTGTAATTTTTTTATTACATTCAACAGTTACATATACATTCCACAGTTAATTTTGCCAATTAAGCCTTTGCTAATTAAATTTGTCCAGCTTTACGTAATTAATTTTTACGTAATTTTTTTTGTCATCAGAAGTTTTTTACTCTAGTATTATTTTAATTTCCTACTCACTTTGTAATATCTTTTTTAATCAGTAAAAGACAATTCTTTGCTTTCATATTTTATTTTATTTTTGGCTAAAATCGCTTAAAATCCGTTTCTGAACTAAAATTTTTCATTAATCAAAATTTAAGTATTTTTCATCAATTAAAAAAGAAAAATCGGTATAAAATTTGAATATATAAAACATTTGAAGGACAACAAAAACCAATAAATTACATAATATAAATAGTTCAACTTATTTGCCCCAAAAAAAATTGTTCAACTTTAACATTTTGTTTTTACTTTTGAACGAGTAAAATTTATAATTTCAACTATACAAAGTTTTAAATCAGTATGAATAATTTCAATAATTGGCATATCATAAAATTAACACATAATTACAGTTTGATTTTTTTTTCTTTATCCTTTTTTATTTATCCTTTATCCAAAAAAAGAAATTACGATTCTTTCTCACCACTGTGAAAAAGGGTTTATTCTCACTAACGTCCAAAAATTCTGTTTTGACCAAATAGTTTTTTTCTTTTTCTTTTCTTAAATAAATCTAAGGATAAAAGAAAAATAAAAATCTTTGTTTAACCAAAAAAAATAAAATTGATGGAGAAATGGATAAAAGAAGAGAGGTGGAATTGCTTCTAAAATTAGTAAAGAAGCATAAGAGAAGAAGAGACTCTCACATAAGAGAAGAAGAGACTCTCACTTCAACTTTTTTATATGTTCTTTTTACTATTCCCAATTTGTTCCAACATGTCTTCTTCTTCACAGACACTTTCTTTTCCTTCCCCCATCTCATTTCTAATGAATGATGTTACAAAACTGAGAATTATTACTTGATAAAAACAGTTTTGCTTACTTAATAAATATTTTTTTAGCTTTTAATACCAAATCCAACGGTGAGGAGTGATTTTCTCTAAACTTAATAATTACGTGTTCCCATTAGTTTCAGATAATAATAATAAATTATAATAATGGGATTTAAATTTAATCCATTTTGTCGTTTTCTCAGCGTATCTAAAGGTAGTTCCTTCCACCGCCTTCGGAAGTCTAAAAACAAATCCATTTTTTTCGTAATATAACAGCCGCTCGCTCACGGGACTGTCACAAAGAAACAACTCGCTAATTCTCCCACGTCAGCAATAACTCTCCGCGTGGAAAGGTCTCAAGCCGCTGTTCCTTAAACCCGTAACTCACAGACCCGTTACATTACCTTTTTCACTCTTTTAAATTTAACCGCGGTTGATAAAAGCAGAAATATTTTAACCATGGTTAAGTTTTTTATTTTTTTTTTAATTTTAGCCCCCACTACTACTTTACTACTCTCACCCTCACATCAGTTTATAAAGGAAGCCATAGCTTTGCCGGAGATTTAGCATACACAACCACAATCACATAAACCAAACTGAATTAAAAAAAAAGAAGAAAAGAAATGATGATCGGAGAACCTCATCGTGTTTTTAATCCTACGGTTCATATCCCTCCATGGCCACTTACAACCGAAGATCTAACGGCGTCAGATGTTTACGGAAGTCCAGACGGAGGTAACAGCATGATCGAGGCTTTGGCTGCGTTACAGCGTTATCTCCCGTCTAACGAACCGGATCCGGATTCTGACCCGGATTTATCGGGTCCTGATTCACCCATCGACGCTTATTCCTGTGATCATTTCCGGATGTACGAGTTTAAAGTGAGGCGCTGCGCTCGTGGAAGGAGCCATGATTGGACTGAGTGTCCCTACGCTCATCCCGGAGAGAAAGCTCGCCGTCGTGATCCCAGGAAGTACCATTACTCCGGTACGGCGTGTCCTGACTTTCGCAAAGGCGGTTGCAAGAGAGGTGACGCCTGCGAGTTCTCTCACGGTGTTTTCGAGTGTTGGCTTCATCCGGCGCGTTACCGTACTCAGCCGTGTAAAGACGGTGCTAACTGTCGTCGTCGTGTTTGTTTCTTCGCTCATTCGCCCGATCAGATTAGGGTTTTGCCTAACCAAAGCCCTGATCGCGTCGATTCTTTCGACGGTTTGTCTCCCATCCGCAGGGCTGCGGCGGCGTATCAGTTTTCGATTTCGCCGTCGTCTAACACTCCGCCGATGAGTCCGCGAGGTGATGACGCTGACTCGTCTTGTTCTTTACTGAGTCGTTCACTCGGGTCTAATGTGGGAAACGACGTCGTCGCGTCTATGAGGAATCTGCAACTCAATAAACTGGAGCATCTCTCTTCGTCGTACAACAGCAATCAAATCGGAGGATACGGATCCGGGTTCGGGTCGCCACGTGGGTCTTTATTGGGTCCTGGGTTTCGGAGCCTACCAAATACACCGACCCGACCCGGATTCATGAACATATGGGAAAATGTTCAGGAGGAAGAACCGGCGATGGAACGGGTGGAGTCTGGTCGTGAACTGCGAGCGAAGCTGTTCGAGAAGCTGAGCAAAGAGAATCGCATGGGTCGGGTTGACCCGGATCCAGAGCAGGAAACGGGTGATGCTCCTGATGTCGGGTGGGTCTCTGATCTAGTGATGTGATTTAAACCGGACTCGTAAACCGAAGGATTTTTAATTAAAAAGGATTATTATCGTCATTGGAGGTTTTTTTTTTTATAAAGTTATCTCTTCTCAGGTATAAGAATGGGATTTCTCTAAAAGTATTTCTGTGAATTACTAATTTCTATTAATATAATTATCAACGATCCAGGGAGATTTCTCAATGTATATAGAAGTACTTAGGATTTTTATTTATGATGGATTCACTAATATAATTTTGGGTTTTCTTTTGTTTTGTTTCTGCTATTATGATGTTAGATGCAACTCTCAATGTAATTATTAACTATTCAATGAATGCAATGAGAATGTAAATTATTTATAAGTGAGTTTCTATTTCTTGCAATTATCTAATAAGTAATGATTACTATAGTGTTGTGGTCTGTTTAATATTACTTAGGCATGCGTAAAGTGGTGGGTGATGTGATAAACGTCCGTGAACATCATTATCGGGAGACTGATTATAATGTCGTAAAAATGAGTCGGAGACTGTTGGTTGGTTGGTTGTACTTGTATGTCCTTTAGTTCTTAACTTGAGTATATCAAAAGTTAAATAATGGAAACTTTGGTTTACAGAAACAAAAAAAAAAACAATGGAAACTTTATGCTATAAGGAAACACATTGCACGTTACAACACCATTTTGAGCTTATCCAAATACATGAGATACATGATGATACTTGGCTTAAAGATTTGGTTTTGTTTAAGTATTAGTTGTTAGGTCGAAAGTATTTGAAACACATTCTTTGTTTGATGGTATTGAAACAGACAAATCTGGTTTAGAAAACGAGTGTCGTATTCTTTTGGTTTAAGAATGGGATTATTTTAAGTTGATATGCTAAATTTGTCAGTGATTCATAATGAACTAATGATCACGACGTACTCTTGACGACGGTTTTTATAAATACTTTTGCTTCAAAGTTAGTACTCTCAATAGCTTTATGAAAACATCTGAAAGTATTTTGACTTTTTTTTCTGATATAAAAGAGATAATTGGTAAAGTCATAGATCTTATCCCAAGTGGTATATTGACTTGTGAAAAGAGCTAGCTCTCTCTCGTAGTCATAGTTCTTATCCAAAAAGGATTAAGCTTTCGGATTGACATAATTTAATTGTATGTTTATATTCGAATATTTGCAATGATTTAAAAGCAAATCAAATTGTAAATATATATCATCCGTTTGAATTGTATGTCATACTTGTTATGTTTACTTTCATAAATATCACAAAATACTCTTTTTCCATAAAATCCAAGGAACTAAAATGTTGACATTCAACTAAACCATAAATCTTAAACACTAAATCTTATTATTTAAAAACTAAACTAGAAATATATGCTCAAATAGCACTAAAACAAGTATTATGGACAATTGTAGCACACATTTCACAAATTTCCAAAAATAGCACTAATTAACATAATTACAATATTTTAACATAATTACACATTCCACATATTTTATACATCCTTGGAAATTAATTTTTGTTTTTGTGATATTTTTGACAAAAAAACATTTGTTGTATTGTTCGAAAAATAAACTTATACTAGTATTTTTTTATATATAATAAAAAACTAAAAGCTTAGTATTTTGAGAAATTTCTCTGTAATCTTTAGTTTAACTTTTTACTTGTTATAGTTTTACTTTCGAGAAGAAAAATATATTCTTATTGAAAGGAAACAATAAAAAGACTCATTACTCTTGTGTCTTCACTTGATTAATATTTTGTAGGAAATGAATATGTTTTATATGGATATCTTATAACAAATTGTTACTCATTCTTTTCTATTTAAGTGATGTTTTAGCCCAAAAAATTATTTTCTTTTAAGTGATGTTTACATGTTTAATACTTTTTTACCACTCATATTTTACATCTTATTTTCTGATTGATTGAATTTATTTTAATTATTGATGTTTTTATAGAAATAAAAAAATTATATGTTTTCTTAATATATACGTAAAAACCTTAAACATCAATTAAAATAAAATAGATGGAGTATTAAGATATTAGTTGTCTGCCTAATCCTAGTTGAATTGTATTATAATGTTTATTAGATCTTTTGATGATAACAGGGGACATGTGGGTCCATTGTTAGATATGGAAAGAGTTAGATCCATTGACAAAATATATTTTAATGATTGAAATAAATGACAAATTATGGGAAAAGAATCATAAGATATTCAATAAAAATACCAAATGTTCAGGTTTTTTAGAATATGATTCCTTGTTTTATTATATATATATATATATATATCAAGTTTTCTCGTTTTAGAAAATGATTATGCTATACCCTCTCCATTTTGTTTTTAATTGGTGCTTGAGAATTGAAATTTAATTTTATAATAGTTTACGCTTTAGATTTTCAAGACAGAAGTTTGATAATACTTCCAATTTTTATTCCAATAATTTTAATGTTTTGACCAATAATTTGTTTTCAAATTTTTAATTTACTAGAAAAAATTTTAGACAACAACTAATTTGAAACGATAGAGTATATTATTAACAATTTATAATTATTTTATGATAAAAATTTAATTTTATTTGTTTGGCTAGTAATAATTCAATATGCTATTTTTTAATTGACTTTTAAAACGCTAAAATCATAGAGAAGAAATTGGGTTAAAGAAAAATCCAAATTTGTAGGGTTGCGTAGTGATTATTAGTCTACACAGCTATAATAAGTGATTTGAGGAAAGAAGGAACCTCTTTTTACGGGTCACGATAACTAGACTCGTTTATTAAAACCGTAAAAAACGATTAAAATGTCAAGAAAAAAGTCGAACCAAATTATTAATTACTTTTACCCAAACCAAGTCTGTTACTATATGTTGTCAGCAAATTAGAGATAAGGATTTATCAAATGTAGCTAAACTCATACGGAGACTATATATATATATGATGCATGTTAGCTAGATTACAAAGCTCACATCGTCATAGGGAAATAGCAAGTTGCTATGCGGTCCTTACCTCATTCTCTCTAACATGTAATGACTAATGAGACATTGAATAAGCTAATTGTGAACATAAACTCTAGATGTAATCTTACTACCTTCAGCTTTTGTATCTCTTTGAAAGATCTTAAAGTTGGTTCTTCTCTTGTATACAAATCTATAATAAGTACATTTCCGATTCTTCTCTTCATATCTTAGCGCGTAACTCAAATCATGTTTTCGGCAAAATATTACTCAACACTAAAATCAAAATTTTTGATATATGACTAATGGATTTTCAAGATTTTGTTCTACTCAAGAGTATTCGTTAGTCTTTAGTTAAAACTTAAAACTATCAGAGCTTGTTGTACAATTTGCATGTTTATAACAACGTAAATAATGCAATATAACATTCTTAGTTACACCTTTCCTTTTTATGTTTTCCACAACCTTTAAGATGAAAATGAGGTACACTCACTCTTTAGTTCTTGTATGACTAACAAGTAACATTTTGATCACAAAACTGATAGTCACTAGTAAGATAACACTCACTAGGAAGAAGTCTTGTAAAAACATTGACTTAAAGTAGTTGAAAAATACTCAGATATTGGATATCATTGTACAAGTTGGTTCCTCTCTTTTGGGTTGCATTGAAAACCCGGTTACTAGATTTTGGATCAGGATTAATCATGACATTGGTATAACTCTTCCAATGTAAAGTATAAGGAGTGATTGCAAACAATTGTTAGACGTATTGACAAAACAGAGAACATAGGAACAGTGATACAATGCATTCACTAGAAACTGCGGTCAAGTTACTGAGTTATTTCGACTCTTGTTATACTTTAACCAAGTCAAAACGGCAAGAGTGGTGGTGGGAGAAAAAAAAGAATAGGAAGAACCAAGTCGTAACCTAGAAGATTACAACAAGAAAGTGTCAACATGAAGAAACAAAACAAAATGTAAAAGAAACATTCATATGCAGTTCATTTAAGTTACTTATATTGGAAAAAATAAAACCGTCCGATCAATTTGACTCGGATCCTTATATACATAAAATCTTTCTTTCTGTTTTAAATAATAATGCACACACAAATATCCCCACTTGAACAGAGATCTCCCAAGGCTAGCTTCAGCTGCAGTAACCAAAAGCCGTTTGAACAATCCGATGAAATATCGAATTTCATCAAATAGTTTTGTTTCCTTTTGATAACGAGAAAGTTACCTTAGAGAGCCATATCAGCTTGTAAGGCAGCGAGTTCATCTTCCTCAGCGGTAGGTTGCTTCTGAGCTGCAGGACGAGTAGGTTGCTTTCCTTGAGGCACATGCATTGGAACAGGCTGAAGAAGTTGCTCTTCTAGCTCTGCGCTTTCTAGTTCTTCAAGCTCATCTAATAATTCATCCTGTAATTACCAATAAAAAGTACTATTAAAGAAAAGCTGAAATAGATTTGTTTTATAAGTCGAGCATGTGAGCAAAAAGGGGTCTAAAGGAACGTTACCTCATCAAAATCAGCAGCAGACCCAAAAGGAGCTGACAATGCTTCTTGGATCTGTTTCATGTTCTCAGTTTGCTCGTTGATCTCTTCCATTGTCTTGTCAACATCATCAATGTTTCTGCAAAACAAATGTGTTTAGTTTGCACACTTGGTCGCTGGTTAAACCATAATTTATCTAGCTCAACTATAGAAAAAAGTTAGGCAAGCAAACGCATACGTTGCTTTCTGCATAGCTTTCATGGTAGAAGCTCCAGTCCTCAAAGCATCTACAGTCTCTGTTGTTGCTTTAGCACCTTCTAACATAATCATCTGTTTACAGAAGAGTAATATATATTCAAATCTCATCCAATAATAGCAAACTTCATTAAAACGCTTCAATGGTAAAAGTAGAAACGAAAAAAACTCACTTGATCATGAATACGGAGCTGGAAATTCCCGAGCTGTTCAACTTGTTGCTCATATAACCTCTTCCTTTTCAAACATTGTATAGCCGCTGCACAATAACAATACCCGTAAAAGGTAAAAACAATCAATCTAGTGACAACGCAAACACATTCTAGGATAACTAGACATGACTATATATATTCATATTCACACATGTCTAAAACAAACTCAATCACAGTGAAAGAATAGAGAATTACCCCGTTTGTTCTTAACCCGGGAGAACTCCTTAGCTTTCTCAACCTCTCCAGCAGCTTTCTTAATAAGAACACCCTCCTTCTTCTCTAACATCTCAAGAGTCTGAGCAAGAACAATTGTTAACAATTGAGAAATCACACAAGAGAGTAGCAAATTGCTATAACAATGCAGAGAGCGATGTAACCAATAAGACACAGCCTCAATTTACAAACCAAACAAAAAAAGAGAGCTTTTGTTCCTGGAGCAATCTCATCTACAAATAAAAATCCAATTTTTTTTGGAGTGTTTACCTCATTGAGCTTGTCTAGGGTTTGGAGAGTATTACCCTCCTGCTTAGGTTTCCCAAAGAGCCGATTCATAAACATGGCGACGATTCTTTGATCAAATAAGTCGCGATGGATCCTTTACAAAAGAAAAATCGAAACAATGAATTAAGGATCAGTGATTCCGAGGTTTCGTAAACATGAATCGATGGATTAAAATGAAATTAGGGTTTTAAATACAAAACTGGGTTCCTTGCGTTCACGACCAAAATTTGGATTGTCAAAATAGATCCAGACGAAGAATACACAATAGAAAGAGAAGAATATGAAGAAATCAATTGAAAAAGACACAAACCTGAGGGATTTGAGATGCGAAGCTGAGGTTTTGATTAAGAGAGAGATGATTGATATTTTTAATAATGGAGCGAGGAAGAAGAAGAAGAAGAAGAAACGGCGTTGATTGGATTGAAGTTTTTTTTTTTTTAATTTGGTTTTGGTTTTTGGGTTTTGTTGTGTGTGTAAATATATAAAAATTAAAGAATTTGATAAGTAAGTAAAAGGAGTTTTGGGTGTTTCTTCAAATACCAAATCCTTGTCCTACCTGTACTCTCTCTTATTACTTGTTGATTTTGATATCTTCTTCTTTTTTATGTTTTTTTTTTTATTGTTACGTTTCTACGGTTATTAATTTATTATCTCTCTACGAAATTTCGTTGGAAATAGGTTTAAAATATCTTTTTTGAATTTCTCAGTGATAGGATTTTTTTTATTGAACTATCTTTTTAAAAAATATTTGATTTACCATATAATTTTCATAGTGACTTTGAGAAACCTTTTTTTTTTGGTAATTTGAGAAACCCTTTTTATTATAAATATATAGATTTTAAGTAAATATATAACTTTTTTAAAAAATAGAGATAATTTTTAAAAAATAAAGATAAACGTTTTTAATTTTTTTTCACAACCGAGAGATACTTTGTTATTCCGTCTGTCTTATTTTATTATTTAATATAAATTATACACATATTAAGTAATTTTTTATAAGTAACTAATTTACTAATACACTAAAAGTTAGAGATAAAACTAAAAAATTGTTTTATAATTTTTGCATTATAAACCGGCAACGAAACAAAGAGAAAAATATTATCTCCGAGGTAAAATAGATTGTCGGTAAACCAATTTTGCGGCGACATGATTACATTGCCTCATGTTTTTGGTTTGGTTTGTTTTGTATTCTGTCGTCAGAAGATTATATATTTGCCTGAACAACATGTCTTAAAACTCTAACTCTTTACAGAATTGTTGCTCAAAAAAAAAAAAAAAAACTCTTTAGAGAAAATGCTGTAACTACAACAACTCGAAGAAATCTCAAAGTCTGAGAAAATTATATAATCTGTGAATTTTATATTCGACGACCAATGTTACACTCTTGAACGATCTAATCATTGAGAGAACTGCATTGTGCAAGAAAAAGTTCAACCACTACTATGGACTAAGTTATTTCCGGTTAACATTATGAATGCCCAATAAGAGCCCAACTGTCTTACTCTTACTGAAATAATATTAACTATGTACAGTATTTTAATCTCATTAACTTGTTCTTTTTTCTTTTTTTTTCTAAACATTAAATATCATATAGATGAAAAAGGTTTTACATAAAGCAATACCTAAACAAGAGCAGCCAAAGCAAAAAAAGTAAAACAAGGCCACAATATAGAAAACATATAGCAACAAAAAACAGCACTATCTAATCCAGAAAAGCATTAGGCCATGCCAACGCTTCCTGCGACGCCGAGAGGAGATGATATTTCGCATGTCCCGATCCACAAGCTTGAAGATGAGGGCTGGGGAGATCCTAGAAGAGTTATGAAGAACATTGTTTCTCTATCTCCAGATATTATACAACACAACTTGGGCAACTACCTTGCGGAGTAGAGAAGGAGCTGCGAGAGATGATCTTCTAGTCCAAGAAAGCAGCTCTGGCCAAGAGCTGAACAGACGTTGGCGAGGACACGTCTTATCGAAAGCCAACTTCCAAATTTGTCCAGCAAAATCACATTGGAGGAGGAGGTGATCCCTAGTCTCGGAGGCGACAGAACAGAGACAGCACACATCCGATTGAATAGTGTCCCAGGATGCAAGTCGTTGTCTGGTTGGGAGCCTGTTAAGATGAGAGACCCACATGTTAAAGGCATACCTTGGCACAACTCCTTTAAACCAGATTGGATTTGTCCATAGTTCCTCAGGAGCACGAGGTCGCAAAGCATCCCAAGTGAATGAAGTTGAGAAGCCTTGGCAAATCACAATGTTTACACACCACTGATAGGAGTCATCATGCCTGCTACTACCGGGGCTAGGGAGAGATGTTAGATGGTCATGGATAAATGTCGCCTCAACAGAACGCGAGAGGGGGAGTTTCCAGCCATTCCCTGAGTGAGCTTCACACACCTTTGCATTCCGAGGAATCCTCAAAGTTCGCGATCCTATACTCCCAATCCGGTAGATTAGTGGGCCAAGAGAGGTCCATTTATCGAACCAGAAAGAAGCCCTCATACCGTTTCCCACTTTTACCTTTACAAAACACTCAGCTAACGGCCTCAGATTTAGAAGCATTTTCCAAGTCCAGGGAGCTCCTGAGGGCACAGAAACATCCCAAAATGAAGTGGTTCTAAGGTGGTGGTGGTGATGCCAGGCAGCCCACAGCGAGTCATTCGTCTCAAAAAGCCGCCAAATAAGCCTGAGATTAAGAGTTTTGTTCCATTCTGAGAGCTTCCTCAAGCCTAAGCCCCCTTCAGTTTTAGGCAAACAGATGTTGATCCAAGAAACCTTAGCAGTTTTCCTTTCATCAACATTTCCTGACCAGAGGAACCTAGAGCAAAGACTTTCAATCCCATTAATGCAGCCCTTGGGGAGGATAAACGTGGACATCCAGAAGTTGATGGAACCAAAAATAACTGAAGCTATTAACTGAAGACGACCAGCAAAAGATAGGGATTTAGTGATCCAAGAGCGAAACCTTCTAGTTAACTTTTCCAAAAGCGGCTCATACTCAGCAACACGCAGCTTTCGACTCATAAGGGGAAGGCCCAAATACCGAATAGGTAGGGTGCCAATTGGATATCCAAATTCAGCAACTGCATTACTTTCTACTGCATCTAATCTCGCATGAAAGAGTTGGCTCTTATCTTTATTGACGTTTAAACCTGACCAGCTGTGAAAGTCATCGAGGGTTTCACAAATTCCATGGAGAGATGAGCTTCCACCGTCGAAAAAAATCATGACGTCATCTGCAAACATTAGGTGGGAGATAGATAGATCCTCAGCCTTAGGGTGATAGTGGATATAGCCTGCATCGTACCTCGTTTGCAGCAGCTTTGAAAACACTTCTATTGCTAGTACCAAGAGATAAGGGGAAAGAGGGTCGCCTTGTCGCAGTCCCTTTGTTCTTCTAAAGAAACCCCCATTGCTGCCATTGACTGAAACAGAGAATGACGCAGTAGAAATGCATTGATGGATCCAGTTGATGAACTTATCTGGGATAGCGAGAGCCCGCAATGCCGTTATAACAAAGTCCCAGCGCACTGAGTCAAATGCCTTTCGCAAATCAAAAGCTTATAAGGTGAGTGTTTGTTTCTTTTAGTACTACACAGGTGTAGAAGAGATAGGCTTAGTTCTTGTTTTTTAGTCGGGTTTAATCCTATTGGGAGGAACAGGTTGAGTAAGAGCCGAGACAAAATTGTATCATAGGAAAAGATAAATTTTGTTAATAAAAGTCGAAAGGAAAAATGTTTGTTTGGCGCGTTCCAAGCGTACTTGTTTGTGTTGTATCTCTATACATTTTCAATATATACATTTGATTGATTCCATTATAGAACAGAAGAAGCTAAAGATTGAACATCATGTGCCAAAGTGTCTGGTTAAGGTGGTTTAACTTAATCCACTTACTTGCCTACATAAACCTTCGAGCTTTATATGTACAACAAATTGGGAAAATCTTTTTTTTCTTTTTTAATTAGGAAAAAGCTTAGATACCAACAACAGAGTTTCACTAGTTGTAAATTTTGAATATGTATTAGTTAAGAACTTAATATATATACTATGAGAAGTGCCGGAGCCAGCCAAGGATCATGGTGGTCAAATGACACCCATGAAACTTTGAAATTTAGTTATTTTTTAGCTATAATTTTAAAATTAACATGAAATGATTGACCCCTATAATTATTATTTTTACATTTTGACCCCATAAACACAAATCCTAACTCAGCCACTATGATATTAGAATTGTACTATAAATCTAGTATTTGGTTGTTTTTCTTGATTAAATGAGAGATGCGTTGGTATTGTTGGTGAAATGATTTGGCCTTCTCAAACTGCGATTTGCGAGGTTTGTTAACCTTTATATGATTTAAAACAAATTAATTAAGAAAACAATATACTTGATTAACAAAAATATGTAATATAAAAATGTCGAGTTTAACCGAATCAATTACACTCACCAACCAGAACTGAATTCTTTAGAAATAAATCCATTGGAAATTTTCTTTGATAATACGTAATGAACTTACAAGTTCATCGATCTGCATGCATGGTCCCGAAAGTTCTGAAAACTTAAGGGTAGCCCAATGTTTTTACCTTTCGGGTCACCAAATTATTGAACTAACCGTATACGACCACATGCTAATTAATTAAAATTTATAAATGATTTTATATAAATTACACAGTTCTGTAAAAATAATTATTAAAATATTAAATAAACTTTAACCAATTTTGTAAATTTTTAAAAAATTTGAATTAAAAAAAAATGTTTGCGCTAGAGTGTACAGCGTATTAAAATCTATCATCTTATATTTCATAAGCTATTATAGCAGGTCTAAGAAAAACATAAATAAGATAGAAAAAAAAAAAGTACTTGCATTGTTTTGTTTCCTCTTCAGTTGCCGGTCAATCTCCATGCGTGCATCTTTCCACTTACGCCTCCACTGAGTAGCAATCCTTCTGAACCAACCGTGAATGTCTCGATAGTAGATGGCGACGAAAAAGTTCCTCTTTGTGTAAACCTGTGTAACACAAAACTAAAACTTAGGAATTTTGAGCTTTCATCATAAGGAATTAAGATCAGCGTACAACACAAATAAGGGTCTTCACGTACGGTTGTAGATTGTAGATGCCAACTGTTCCATTTTGGTACGAGCAGAGTATGATTGGTCTGCCGTCTAGGTCATACATCCCACAAAGAGCATGCACACTCTGCCATTTTATTTTCAGAACATTGCCATGTTAAAACTTATTTAACTTTGTATACTCGTCAAAATTGTTTTACCTGTCCTTGTGTCCGCGAGGATACCAGATCCCACAAGCCATTTCCAGAACAATGCCAAGTTTTCAGTGTCCCGTCCAAGGAAGATGACAACAGGAGTTGATCCCAAAAAAAGAGTGAGGAGACAGTGTCACTATGTTGCCTTAGGGTTTGTACACATCTCCTTGTGGAGAGACTCCACACCTGGAAATTAAAGAATTGGATTCGATGGGGGCATTATAAAGGTCGTCAACTGTTTACTTGTTTAACACTTCACTAACCTTTATTGAAAAATCCGCAGAACCAGAGAAAAGTTTGCCTCCTCCGGCAACCAAAGATGTGACCTTGTCATCATGACTGCCTTTAAGAGTCCCGATGTATGGGAAAGGTTGAACCATGTACATGCGATCCTCAAATCTCCAACAAGATATAAGGCCATACTAAAACCAACAAAACCAAAAGGAACTTAGCTTAAATCACTCAAAAAAACGAGAACAGTAAGTAAGAGATTGAGTTAAACTCTTACACTTGTCCCAGCAAAAAGCATTCCCTCAACAAACATCATTGCAGTCACAAGACCAAGGAGCTCTGTGTTAATGTAGTCTACCATGGTTTCAACAAACGGCTGCATATATATTATATAAACACATTATTTTGACCCACTCAGAGATATATATATAGAAACGCTGCATTACACTTACTCTGTTTTGTGTTCTGTTTATATATGTTGGGACTGGATGAGATGGCTTGGTAAGCACTGTGCTCTCGGTGGTTCCAACTTTGTAAGCCTGAAATTTTATGTACGATAGATAAGATTGCGATAAGAGAATTATCACTGAGATAGATACACTTAATTACTTTTATGTTATTTCGCAAGCCAATAAAGACCCATGTGCCTTTGCTGATTAGAGACCCTACTTCTTCCCAGAGGTTGACTGTCTCAATGCAGTGGAAAGTGGTGCGGCTGAAAATCTGCAATTTTCCATTTTTGCTGACTGAGTATAGCAAGTGAGATTGTTGCGGAAGGGCAATTCCCTTTATGTCTGTCTTATGTTCACCAAAAACCGCTTCCATAGTCACAACACCTTCTCCTATTAAACCTCCCTGATCAACTAAAGCTCCTCCGCGTCCACCTTGTATTGGTAGCGGTTCAACCAGCCTAAGCCTAACAGGGGCCATCTCAAACATGTCCAAGAAAAAGGCAACGACCCACATTGATTTCCTGATAGCCGTTGGGAATTTGACCAAGAGATAGACCGATAGAGCCATCAGGCTATGAGGTATTCCAAAAATATCACTCAACCTTAGAAGCTTCATTAGGGTTGTAAAATTCAGAAATAGTGATAAGAAGAATCCAACCGCATAAGAGTCAATTCCCTGACGTTTGTCAATTTCATCAGTCAGGTACACAAACCCTATTAAGAAAGCAAACATTCGAGTAGCTTGTACCAAGAAGAGGAATCCGTTATGGTGCGTTGGCAGATGCTGCAGCGACAAAAAGAAGAAGAAAATTCCACATGTGGTGGTGACAAATATAACCACCATATACGTCGGCTTGCACAAGGTTTCCATGTTGCAGTAGGCAATAGCAAAGATCGATAGCGTTTGCTGTAAGACAAACGTGGCGTTAAAGGAGTAGAGCCATTGGATGGTTGTGCCAGTTTTTCTCATGAGAAGAACGAGTGTATACAGAATTGTCTTAAGTATGGATGCGAAACTGTCAGGATCAGGGAGTTCAGCGTTCCACATGATTGCCGCTGTTGAGAGTGTATAAAAGGGGAAGGATTTGGGGAAAACTCTTTATGTTGTCGATCACAAGAGAATTTATACAATAGGCTAACTTATTTAACCTAATTACAATAGGAAATCTATTATAATGGGAGAGTTCTCTCTCCTTCTAAAGCCGTACACATCATCATTTTTTTAAATTTTTGTGTCAAGTCCAACAAATAATCTAAACCCATATTTTTGTATATTATTTTATTGTCTTTTGGCCCGTTAGTTTGTAATTTAAGCTCCAACACTTTTATATTCAAATGGGGTTTATTTTCTGTGACATTAAAAAGTACACATTGTTTAGTACAATATAATATAAACTCAAATAAGTTAATAGGTTTAGGTTGTCGCTCACTTACGTTCTTTCTTCTACGAATTTCTGTCGTTTCCACTTCAGTTTATCAAAATTCATAAACCCAGTCCCGTTCTGATTTAAAGTGAAACATACGTTCTAAAAAAATATTACATATTTTTATTTATTATTAAATTTTAACTAAAAACAAATTATTACTAAACTTAATTTAAAATACTCTAAGATGAAAATATTTGAAAGGAAACACTTTATGCCATGAAATTCTATTAAAAATATAAAAATTATTAAAAAACATTATTTTCCATATTCTAAAATAATAGATTATTAATTGTCACATTATTCATGAGTTTTACAATAAAATAATTAAAAAGTGATATGTAAGCTGTAAAACTATAAATTTCTAAGATGATCAAAAAGAAAAACAAGTTTGATATCCCATCATTCGTATCAAATGCTTTTAACCCAAAATGGACTACTATTAAAGAAGAAATTGTTATGATATGTCTTAAAATCAACTCACACTTCAATATATATTATATGAGAGTTAATAGAAGGTGGAAATAAACTAGATGTTGAGAGGTAGCGAGTGCATCATACAAGATAACAAAAGAATTAGTAGTTAAAAGAGATTGAATATAAATGACTATAACTTAAAAAGATAATGTATATGACTAAATTTTGAAATATTTGAGATCTCATTTATTGTGTGAAACTAAAACTCAAGATATACTACTAAATTCAAAGTCGGACTTAACTGTTAGTTATAGAAATGAGATAAGATAGACACATTCATGACTTGGTCGAGATTTCGCTTTTACCACATTGCACTTTTTTCGATGGATAAAGCAAGTTCGCTAAACCTACTCTAGCGACATGATATTATATATGTATCTTTACACTTCATGATGTATATGAGGCTCGGTAAATTCGTGTTATATATAGAACGGTATTATATTTGTATTAACATCTAATCGTAAATGATATCTACAATTAGTATCATGAGCTGGTCGTCAATGTCATTCACTCTTCTTGCAAATTTTTTTAAGTAATCTTTGTTACCATGTAATAATATTAAATCATCTATTTCTCAAGAAAACACTATCGCCAACAATATATATGTTGTATATCGCTTAAAAAGTTTAGTTTAGTTTTTAATTATATAGCTTTTATCTTTTGAAATTTGAATCTATTATAACATTTTTGGAGTACAAATTTTTGGCCATCACCTATTAAATTGCTTATGACATCGATTACCCTCAACATCAATTATTTTGCCTGTTTTCATTAAGGTTATTGTAGTCAATATATTGAATCGGGTCGGTAACTTTTCCAATCTTTAACCCAATTTGATTACTCGGATCCTTCTATTTCGCCTACCAACGATTGCCCTTCAAATAATCTTCATTCCTGTTGAAATAAAAAGGTTAATAAAGTCTTTAATATACTTAATCGGTTTATAAGATACATTCAGTACTGACTAGATTTCGATAACAAGACATTTAGTTTAACAAGATTTTATCAGTTATGATAACCGACCTCTATGCCTACGAATACATCATCACAAGTATTTTGAAAATCTTTTAAAACTAATATCATAAATAACAAACCATATATAGATCTCATATCGAA